ATGGTATACAAGCGGAGGTTATATAAGGGCACTCCATTCATGCACTTAGTTTAGTTCTTCGCAATCAATCTAGTTAATCAAGCATTGGTTACCTTCTAGTTTCTGACTCGTCCGCACTTAACCAACAACCCAGCATACGTGCTCGGTTGACCTTGTTTCTCTATTTGTTACCTTTACTGATTCTACCTGTTGACTACCTTACGGAGCCTGGAGGGGGCGAGATACCTTCGACGTGATATACAGAGGACCTGGATGGTCATTGAGCATATGAGTGCTTGGAAGACACTTAGGGTAAGTGTCCTGTCTCGAAATACAACTAACTAGAACCCTAGGTATAATACGAGGGAAGCCAGGTTGTGACACCAGGTTTGGTTTAAGTCATGCTATATCAAACACATCCCCACAAAGTAGCCGGGCTCAGCCGTATTGTACAATATGCTTTATCAATTGAATCCGCTCGATGCCCTGCTGCTGGAGTGACAATATATATAGATTATTGTTCCTGGGGCGTCTTGGGAGCGGAAGTGTTCCAGGCTTCCTATTAGCACAATTAGCTTGCATCTGAAACTTGGTCTTTTGTGATTTCTTTTTATGCGTATGGTGCTGAAAGATACTGGACCAGAGCAAGGAGTAGAAACCCAGTCCCTTCCTGATCTATTGGCAGACAATGTCATGAGCCGTAGCCCAGCTACCTATAACTAGATGTAGCGTGCAAAAGAACTCGTTGAAGAAGAAATGTGTACGGAGCGGCGGCCATCTGAGAAGATGGCCAGACTATCACGTGGTCTCGTTCGTCCATGGGCCCACTTTCTGAATAGCTTTAATCCGAGAGACGTTGAGACGTCTCTCGGTACGTAGTAGGTGTCACAACCTGGCTTCTCTCGTATCGTACCTAGGGCTCTAGTTGTATTTCGAGACAGGACACTTACCCTAAGTGTCTTCCAAGTAATCGTATGCTCAATGACAATCCAGGTCCTCTGTATATCACGTCGAAGGTATCTCCCCCGTCCAAGCTCCGTAAGGTAATCAACAAGTAGAAACTGTAAAGATAACAAATAGAGAAACAAGGTCACCCGAGCACGTATGCTGGGTTGTTGGTTAAGTGCGGACGAGTCAGAAACTAGGAGGTAACCAATTCTTGATTAACTGGATTGATTGCGAAGAACTAAACTAGGTACACGAATGAGTGTCCTTATATATTCTCCGCTTGTATACCATCTATCAATACCAAGCCATGGTATATGGTAGCTGATCACGTAATGCGCTCGTTAACTACCATCTCTGATCCCTGTCCTTCCTGCATTATTACCATAGCTTACGGCCCAATGATTCTGCCTTGACTCCCCGCATAATTACGTGAGATTAGTGCATTAGGGATCTGTAACAGTAGTGTCTAACCCTTTACAGACAACTCAATAAACTCACCATGGCACCCATTTATACTTGACCTTTGCCAAGAATAAAAGAATGACGAGAGATGACAGCATGCTCTCCTTGATGTAACATGTCCTATGATCTGAAATCTGTCTTCCGCAGACAGAACCCTGATGGACAGACCAGTGACACCGTATTAATCCGGCAACTGTAAAATAAGGTGAGAGTAAGTTCCTCTTTTCCCAGGGATATACAACATACCGGGGGTGGAAATCATGTCGTCGCTTTGAAGCGCTTCTTCAAAAGATCATACAAATCACGTTAGAGCCAGGAAAATCTGTATAATGATTGCCCTAGTTATGACTTACGCACAGGACGTAACTCAGGATATGCTTTGTTGGTTTCAGTAAGAAATTTACAAGTTAAACTCTAACAGAAACCCCTGATGGTCTAGTTGGATATGACGTTCGGCTGTAATGGATATTGTAACCGAAAGGTCGCTGGCTCGATTCCGGCTCGGGGGATGTTTTTTTTTTTTTTTTCTTTTTCCTTTCTTCCCATTTCACATTGACCTCAAGAGTTTCATATAATACCTTTTCTTTCTTTCTCTTTAAATTTCGCTCGCACGAGTCTATGCATGCGAGCTACAAGCCTGTTTGTTGGTACATCCTATAAAATAATCATCTCTTCGAGAAATAATTCCCGCCATTCATTGATCTATAAAGTAGCTGCTTCCGAGATAGTCTTCCGTGATATGAGCGAATTGTCCTATCTCAAATAGGACAACGATGAGACAGACAACAAGATTGTAGCCCGGAAAACACCGACGACGTCGAGTGTGGAGTCAGTTTGCTCAAGTAAACAACCAGAGCATGCCTAACTGTAGTAGCTAGGCCAATGCGCTGTTGTTGGTCGGCAGCCTTATGGATGGCCGCTTCTTGAGCCGTCTGGGAATAAAATGTTTCAAGTTCTGCTTCAGACAACAAACGAGAATCTTGAGCTTGATCTATTCTGCTTGACGTGGGTCTCCTATCATCGTGGCTGGCTTTTTACCAACATGACGTGCGTAAAACCCTCCCTTTTTACAACACGACCTTGGGCCAGGTGTTTGGACATGACCGCTTACTGTATAATGGCCTTGCGAGTCCTGGTCACTTCCTTGCTCTCCTTGGTGCTTTCTCGTGCCGGGCATGCAGATAGATGGAAGGTGTGTGCTACAGCTATGGGGTCGTCTGCCATTGCGACCACATAACAAGCGCCATTGCTTTCTTTGCAATATATCGATGAGACCTCGGCTTCTCTACCGAAGAGCCTCGACCTCCTCTGTCCAGTTCTTTCTCCTCTTGACAATATTGCCTTGTTCCCTGCTCGCTATTTACTTATTGCAGGCCTCGTATTTTCCTGGGCTCTTCGAGACTTATGGCAGCTAGTTGCTTTAACTCATATTCATAGTGGTGCTTGATCAACCTTCTGAGCCTCATTGCGTCTCTTTTGGTATCAAGCGCCTAGGTTTCTTATCCACTTGCATGCCACCTCTGTGAAGTAGCCACTCAACCATTGCTTTTTCCACTGCTGGGACAACTAAGCATCCTGTCAGCTATCTTACAATAGAAGCGCACCTGTACGCAATAAGCTATTATAGCTTGCTTCGTTCCCAAAAAATTCCACGAAATTACTGGCACCCATGCTCAATATCTCTGCACCAGTTCTCACTTATTTGATGAGCAAAACGATTAAGATGAATTCCTTTGTGTCACTGAGTTACAAGTTATTACCTGCATATAGTTGTGACCCAGTCTCACTCCATCCGCCCTCGATAACGATGGGCAACACCATTCTAGTTTGTCTAGTATAGTAACCTTTTGTCTTCGGAACCTGACGTTGGAATTTTAAAAGTTTGGAGCGAGAAGTCATCCAACCTTGTTGTGATTGAATCTGTATTTGTGGCATCTATGTCGAGGAAACCGAGAGAAACTGTCTAGCGAAAAAAATGGGAAGCGCAAGGCTCTGCCAGTGAACGCTCAGGGTTCTTTTTAAACAATTAAGTTAGTAAGTAGGCCTTGTGGTCATGGATATGTGAGTAACTTGTACAATCCTGCCACTGGGAAGTCCTGCAATGACGGTTAATTTCTGGAAGCAGGAAAACCCTAATAAGAAGTATTCACAGCTATGTCATCATATGTTTGCAATGACCATTCACCCTCACAGAAGAAAAGAGCCTTACAAACGGGCAACATACTGTCCCATCTGTATCAAAGAAACTAGCATCGGATATTCAAAGAGTATGAATAACGTATATTCTAAGTAGGCAGACAGTTAGTGAGCTTTAGAACTAAGCTTGATTATGCTACGCAAGTATGTCAATTGCAAAATGCCCTAGTCAATACTCATTAGCGCCTGAACCAAGGTCCGCGAAATATACTGCCTTGATAGGAATCGGAACCTCTTTTCGCTACGTCCCCAATACAGAATACGTATAGGCAGCAGATAGCAGACATACAGCTCAAGGTACTCGCAAAAAAATCCATCCGAATCAATTCGTGTCTCGTTTTTCCATCTTCCTCCCACCTACTCGCCTACCTACAACAATCTATCAACGATCTTTCAACATCAAACAACAAGCTAACAACCGAAATGACTGTTAATATCGACGCCAAACAGCTTCAAGACATCCAGAAAAGGCCATCTCCATGGAAAGCCATCGTCTCTTACACCAATATTCTGTTCGAGCAGACCATGTCAATCGAAGGAGGCTGTGGCTATCTTGGTTTCCTTTTCCTCATCCTAAATGGTCTATTTTTCTTCGTTTTCGGATTAGTTGTTGGGACAGTCGAGATCCTCGTGGCTGAGTACTGCCCTGAATACTTTAGCCTAGACTATGACAACGACGACAAATTATCAGGCCTCGAAGCCGAAGTCGAAACTGAAGAGGAGGACCTAGAACTGTACTTCAGCGTCCCCGATGAAAATTTTACCTCCATCACCAATGTCGCTGGCACCTGTGTCTCCTGCTCGCTGCCTATCAGAGGCAAGCCACTACAGACCTGTATGGAGTGCAACGGCCTCAGTTGCCAAGGGTGCCTCCGCACATTCTTCATTCTCGCTACCCAGAACGAAGAGTGCATGCCACCTCGTTGCTGCGGAATGGCTATCCCCCTCGCCTTAGGTCGACAAATGCTTACAGGTGCCGAGGTGGAGACGTTCAAAGAGAAGCACGAGGAATGGAATACGGCGGAGCGGCGCTATTGTCCTGTTCCTGCGTGCTCGGCTTTCTTGACCCCGCGGCTTTTTATGGGGCTGCGTGCGTCTGTGTCATCGATGCAGGAGGACGAGGGATCTGTTATCAACTGCCCTGAGTGTGGTGTTGATATCTGCACCACTTGTATTCAGGTGGCTCATAAAAAGCGGGTATGTGATAGTGACGATAGTATCACACCAGAATTAGACCAAGCTCTAAAGGATATCGGTGCAAAGCGGTGCCCGAAGTGTCGCACGGCGGTGGAAAAAGTCGACGCTGTATGTAATAGCATGCGCTGCCGCTGCGGCGCGAACTGGTGCTGGTACTGTTTCCGGGACGTGGAGGCATGCGAAGGATGGCCATGCAACACCGTACAGGGGCAACTTGGCTGCCTCGAACATGAAGGCGAGGTTTGTTCGACATCGGGCGAGGACGAGAATGGCCTTGGGACTCCGCATACCACGGACAGCGAAGACGAGGCAGCCAACTGCATAGATTACAACGACAGGATAGAAGCGTACATCATTAAAGATACAAAGCGCATTGTCCCATTTAACTGTCTGCACGGGTGGCGTCCTGTTGAGCACTGGGAGTTCGATATCGAGTTGCAGTTTGAGTGTGAGTGCTGTTGGGGTCTAATGCTCCTTTGTATGAAGCCACCGGGAGTATCACTTGCGTGTGTACAAACGGGTCGCTTTGCGACAAGGCCCAGAGATAAGATGATTGCGGATGGGTTGAACGATAGTACCATGTTTACCTGTGCTGTTTGTTCTTCGTTTGTATGCAATAAGTGTCGGAAGGATATTGATGCGGGTGTTCGTGATTTCTAATCGCCTCTATGTTTTCATGTTGTTTTTTTAATACCATACTCTGTTGTTATACCGCCATCAAGAACACAACTCGCTTCACCAATCCAACACCGTACAATAAGCATCCCAATTAGGAAACAGGGTAGACCCACATCACGTGTCCGTCATCGCCGATCTCAGACCATCCATCTGCAGTGATCCCAGAGCCAGACAGAGTATATACATTCGAAACCAGACCAATTTTACAGAATGGCAACACCCATACGAACCTGCGGCCCCTGCATCCGTCGCCAATATTTCACCCACTACACGAACCCTCGCCTCTTCTCAACACGAACCTCTCCCCTCCGCAACACCAACGCAAACCCCCTCCGCACCGGCAATGCACGCCCAAGCAAAACCCAAGACATCACCAACACCCGCCGGTCGATGACCCGGTCAGCCGCGGGGATCGCAGCCTGCGCGGTCGCGATGTATGGCATGATTGAGCTAGATGTGTTTGGCCTGAAGCAGGCAGAACAAAATAAGGCAGACGGGACTGCACCTGAGACCACACCCGGAGCCATGAAAATGGACGGACCACCCGGTTTTCCCAACGACGCAAGCGGCCACTCCGTGATCCAAGATGGTGCAGACTTTGTCGAGACAGGAACAAGCACGATCCCGCATTTCCCGAGTACCATTCGTCTTCCGAAGACCCTGGACGAGAACTTGAATCCCGGTGATGATATCCCGTCATCAGTTGAAGAGGATGAATACCAGTTGCTGGGTCTTGGGATCCGCACCGTTTCTTTCCTTTCTATCCAGGTCTACGTTGTCGGGATGTACGTCGCGACAGCTGACATCTCCGAGCTCCAGCAGCGGCTCGTTCGTACCGCACTGAACCCGCCCGGCGATAATACCAGCGCGGTTACCGGGGGTGCGGGCGCGAACTACGCCACGTCTCTGGTCCCAGGAGAGCGCCAGCAACTCAAAAACCTCCTGCTCGACCCCGAAATAGGCGATGATGTCTGGGACGCGATTTTGAAGAAGGACGGTCTGCGCACGGCTTTCCGCATCGTGCCTACGCGGAACACAGACTTCCTGCATTTGCGCGATGGCTGGGTCCGTGGTATCACAGCGCGCGCTCAAAAGGCCAACACCCGCGCCAACGCTGATGCAAGTACCTCCGCACAAGGCGAATACGAAGACGATACCTTCGGCTCATCCCTGAACTCCTTCAAGGGTCTTTTTGGCGGTGGACAGCGGAAGAGCGTGCCTAAGGGGCAGATACTGGTTCTGACAAGAAGTTCGCGCGGAGAACTCGATGCGCTGTTTCGGCCTGGGCCTGGGAAGCCGGTTTCCTGGTTGGGCCGCGTTGATGATGAGAGGATTAGTCGGTTGGTGTGGTTGAATTATCTGGCTGGAAAAAATGTGTCTAGTGATGCTGCGCGACGGAGTGTGGTTGATGGTGTGATGGGGATTGTGGAGAGGCCTGTTGGGACTGTTATCCAAAAGATCGTATAACCGCTTTACTCTCGTTCTACTGTTTGTCCGTACTGTACTGTATTCTACCAAGCACTCAATTCTATCTTCAAGTCATGTATTCCATATATCCAATATAGTCAACTCTTGTCAAAGCTTAAACAGCTTAAAGAGCACCAGCAGCCTTCAACAAACCCGGCAGTTCACCCTTCTTACCCTGCAAGTCCGAGTTACCACCGATATGCTTCTGCTGAATGAACACGTTCGGCACGGTCCTCTGGTTCGAGATGTCCTGCAGAGCGGTCTGGATTTCACTTCCGTCATCTGCGCCGCCTTTCATTAGCTTCGTTCTTTATAGAAGCGAATCTGGAGATAGGTGGGGGAGGGACAGGAACGTACCGAGCAAATCCAACTCAACAGCTTCGTACTTAGCGCCGAGCTCGCTCAGCAGACTCTTAGTGGCGTTGCAGTAGGGGCAGTAGGATTTCGAGAAGACCACTACATATTGAAGTCCCTATTAGCAAGCGCAATCTTCAATGCTGGGACAGGCAGGCAGGGCGGCCACTCACCAACAGCATTCTCATTAATCAGGCTCTGAGCCTTAGTCTTAGCAGCGGACATAGCGGCGGGCGAAGGAGCGGCAAACGTGCCGAAGAGCCGGGTGAATAGGGAAGTGATGGTGGGCAATTACAGGAGATGGGATCTCCGTTGTTTATATAAAATGGGAGAAGAAGAGGAGGGTAGGGGGTTCTTTGTATGAGGGGTTGATGGTTGGTGGGAGATACGGTGATGTCAAGGGTCGGTTACGTGCTAGGCTAGCTGCTTATGTCATACCATGCGGCTCTTGTTCCATGCGAGTTGTGTACCTTGTTAGAAAGAAAGATAGCGAGATTTACTACGGAGTACATAAAATGTATTGACTGTGCGCTATATAACCATTCGAACCATAGCCGAAAACATGCAACAAATATAATATTGGAATGCAAGAGGACAAGTTGACAATAAGATGGGTACGAGTGAAAAGATCGATTGGAAAAAGAATCAGCAAGACAACATACTGTGCTAGCGATGTCTCGCTGGTGTAGATTCAAAAAGGACGGATTAAATAGATGTCAGGGAAGAGAAGATGTCAAAAGATATAAAGAAAAATGAAGGACGTCAAGCAAAACACCGACCAACCCTACCATAATCGCTGAAGAACAAGTGAAAAAGAAAATGAGGTATCTTCAAAGGAATGAAATCGCAAAACTCGAGGTGCAGAAGATGGAAACAAGAAAGAAAAACTTTTACATAACGACACAGCAGCCACAGCCTCCCTTCTTCTCTTTCGGAGGTGGTGGCTCCTGTGCAGTCACAACGGGTGGACTCCATTTGGGCGTCAAGGCCGCTGGAGGCGGGTCTTGCACTCTGGGCATCGGACTGTACCCGGTGCCTGCATTGGGAGACATCGGGTCGGGGCTCTTGGACGATGAGAGCGGCCAGGTGCTGTTTCCTTCTGTCTCCGGTTTCTCCGGTTTCTCCTGCATTTGCTCTTCCTTTGGTGGCTCCTCGGTTTTCTCATTATTATCATTATTGTTATTCGAAGGAGGAGCGTCACTAGCAATAGCCAATGGAGCGAATCCGCGATCGTATGTAGTGGGTGTTTTACCCTCCTTCTCCCACTGCTGCTGCATCATCTGGCGTGCATGTGTGGGGATAATCTGCTGGTCTGGGGGCAGACGCGGATCCGGCTTGTACATGGTTGCCAACCATGGCGGATCGCCCTCGGGACGATTCACTGCCGTCGTGGGCCGGGGGTCGCCTCTGGCGGTTGATCTCGTGCCGTTGGCTGTCGACGTCGTACGCGACTTGGTGGTCTTTCTCGACGTCGCAGGTGCAGAGGTCTTGCGGTTGGTAGACCCCTGAGTACTCTTGGCTGCCGGCCTCCTGCCTCCAACGCTCTGCATGGTTGCGTTGGCACCCCGGCTGTTGGGTCTGCTTCCATTCGGAGTGGGCGTAGAATCGTCCATGGTCATCGGCTCGCTAGCTCGACGCGGCCTGGAGGGGGAAGAGGCGTCGACATCATCTCCCATGGTTTGGGCTCGGGAGCGTGCTTCGGTGGGCAAGTTAGGAGTGGTAGTAGTCCTGGGAATGGGGATACGGGAGGAGCTCTTGCGAAGATGGGGGTTACGGTATACGCTGGATGCACCATCGTCAATTGCTTCCTCAGCGATCTCTTCAGGCTTGCGAAGATCCCAGGTCTTGCGCTCATCGTGCGGGTCAGTGGCTGCGCCATTGGCTTCAATAGGTTCAGGAGATTCGTTATCGTACTCCCGTTGCTCCTCGCTCATATTCGGCCAGGGTTCGTTGTGCTCCGTCGGCTCGGTCTCAGACGACTCACTGATACCACGTTGGCGTGTCGCCTGACTCCTCCCACGGGAGGATTTGGTTTCGATGCCCGTACGACGATGGAAGAGAAGAGCGGCCTGGTGTAGTTCCTCGCTTTCAATTTTGGCCAGCTTATCACGATGAATCCACTTGGCCTCCTCAGAGAGGCCAGGAGGAGTCCCATTGGTCGACTCTCTGACATTCCCGACACTCCGGTTCCCCGATTCATGACCATAGACACCTTTGGAGCTTCCCGCCTCACTTCCACGTCCACGGCTATGATCACGTCGTCCACGACTAGAGTTTCTATTATAATTTGACTCCTGCATATACGGCTGTCTGGACATGGAGGAGCTCCGGGACTCCTTGGAATTGCGGTCGCGGGACTTTCGGTGGGAATCATGGGAGGTACGGGACTTGGAGCGGCGGTTAAAGCTCTGCCGATCGTCAGTTTGCTTGGGTTTAGCAAGGAAAGAACAGGGACAGGGGACGCACGTCTTCTCGGACAGGAACGGAGTACTCCCATTGTGCCTGGCCCCCGTTCACACCGCCAGATGGCATTAGAATATCAGCGGAATAAGCAGCGGTGGTTGCCATTCCACTAGTATCTTTTTTTTAAAAATTTTTTTTGCTTTTTTTAGGGGTTAATTAGAGAAAAGAGAGAAATGAGGCCAGACCAGCTGAACCCGTAACACCAATTGTGGCCAGGAATAGACAGGGAAAGATAATGAGAAGACCACCTGACCAATATATTTGCTAGCTGGACAGGGCCATTCCAGGGAGAAAGAAGGAAAAAAAAAGAAAAAAAGAAGAAAATGAACGATAGCGGACGGCGGCAGACCAGGCCGGGTCGGACAAGCGCGGGCGGGTTTGTACTCCGACTCGTAAGGAGAGAAGAGGAGGAAGAGGAACAGTAGGAAAAGATCAAGGAGAATTTAGACGAGACAAGAAACCGAGCGGCAGAGGAGAGGAGGATTCTAGGCGCAAAAGGGGAACTACTGGCGGGAAGAGTAAATAGTCAATAGCTGAGCTTCTGGATACACTGGTTCAGGGTGCGGAACCGGAGAGGAGGGTACCTTGGATGAGACTTACCAATCGAGAGATAGATTAGAGAATTGAATAGATTGATTATAAGGATAGTAGAAGAGTATAAAAAAGAAGATGATGATGGGTAGATTAATAGAATACTCCGAAGAGCAGGGAAAGATGGAAGAAAAATGGAGATGGAGATGAAAAGAGGACCAGGGGAAAAAGAGAGAGGGGAGCGGCGAACTCTACACCCGCGAATCCAGAACACGCGAGGGTAGATCAGTGGCTGGTAGAAACAGTAGTGATCCTCGATGTATGCCCTGAGACAGCAAGAAAAGGTAGACGCGCACGCGAGAAAATGCAAAAGAGATTTTGAAAGAAAAAAGGAAGTGGGTGGGACGCCAGTGGTTATTAAGAGTGAGTCGTGTTCGAGTTTAGGGGGAATCGACCGTTGAGTAGTCCAGATCCATAGTAGGAGCAAGAAAAAGCAACCACTCTGTATAATAGACAATGAATGAAGCAATGAAGAATACATTGACACAGACCATCCCATGTGCTGTGATCTCTCACATTCTGCTCTGAGGAGCTGAACTGACACCTGATCTATCACCAATTGACTTTCCCATCTAAACACTGAGAAGGCTCTTGGCTGGTTGTTCTCGATAACGTTCATTTGGACCGTGCAAGCCGTTCCCCTGAGGTTATCGACTACAGGACACGATAAATATCACAGACCAGCAGATGTGTATTTCATGATATCTAAACGCCTCTACATTCCAGCCTTATACTAAACACTATCTATGACAATCCCATACTAAACCCAACAACCTTATATACAAGCAAACCCAGTAAAATCGACATAAAAGCAATCACGCCTTCGCAGCCTGATCCAACCGACGCGACGTCTCTTGTGCCTCATTAACCAACGCCTTACGCGCACCCCGCACTTCCTGGTCTCCCTCATGATCAATCGAATCCGCCTTCAGCAGCACCTGCGCCATGATGGTTTCGGTGAGCTTCTTGTGCTCAAAGTCACGGTACTTGGGTTCGCTCGGTGGTGACGTGATATAAGCCTCAGATGGAGGCAGGAGCTCAGTGCGGAAGTAGGTTGTCAGCGCGTTGACTTTATCGGCCGGCGTGTGGAAGCTGTTCAGATTCGGAGCCGGGGCGGGGAGAGACGAAGCGCTGGTGGATATAGCTGGTTTCGATGGTTGAGGAGGCGGTGGCTGCGACGGGGTCGGCTCAACAGGAAACTCCTTCTTGTTCTTGGCCTTCTTTCCCTTCTTACCCCGGTTCCTCTTCCTGCCTCCCTGTCCACCCTCAGACATTGCACTCATCTCAGTCCCAGTCCTTTGAACAGGGACATGGACATCCATGGTCTCCCCCTCCGAGCTCTCCCCGGGCTCTACTTCAGACACCACACACAACACCTCCGACTCCTGCTTCATGCCCTCCGCCCTGCACTGCACCCAATCCTCATCCAATAACTTCCCCTTGTAAAGCAGCTTGATGCGCTGCGGATCCGGCGTGCGCGTCACTTCCGCCGCGCGCTGTCGTAGCTGTCCCACACTCAGCGCGCCATCGCTCATCGCATACGCGGGGAACTCCAAGGTGTATTTGTACTTGTGGTGCTTGAGGAAGATAATATCGGGCCCGTCATCCGCGTGGGCGGGTCTCGATTGCGGATAGTCATGTGCGATATCACCACCAGTAACGTAACTGTAGTCATTATCGCTCACATGCGGCGCCCCTCCACTACCAGGGCCGTAGGAGGGAGTGCGACTCCAAAAACTCCTATTGAACGGACTGCGCCAGTTCCCGCCACTCATGATGATAGCCGTGATACTTATCGCAAAAACGACCGTCGCCGTGACACAAAGAATAACAACAAGTGTAGCGCTGTTGTATTTGCTATTATCGAAGCCCAAACAATCCAAGCGCCGTTTAATGGACGAATCGAGCTCCAAAATCGCCGATACGAGTCGGTGGCGGAACAAAACAGGGATGTGCGCGTTGATGTTTTCGGCGATTGTTTCCAAATAGCGGTAGTAGCCCCAGGACCCGGTGGACTGTGCCTGTGCCTGTGCCTCTGTCTCTGCTGACAGCAGGGTCATATGTTCTTTTTATATGCGGGATTGAATAGGCAGAATACCTGGGATAATTGGTGAGAAAGGATGAGGATAGTTGGCTGCAAGGCAGACTTGAGGCGGAAAGGTGTTTTTGGGAGTTTTCTGCCGCTGCCAGTGCCGATGATGCCTGGGGTACCGAGATTTATTGGCATTGGTAATGAGATTGGATTGGGTATTTGTCAGATTGTGAATAATGCGAAATCAAGGGTTGTCACGAGGTTGTGTGTTGTATTATCTACATAGTACGGAGTACGTGCAGGCAACATAGACAACAACATGTCCATTGATATACTAGCAACCCTATCTAAACCATGAACGCCTTCGCCATGCAAAAAGAGTAAAAAGCAAGATTAAAGCCTGACATTACCATTATTAGGTCGTCCACTTAACAATCCAGTAGTGACCCCATTTCCGTTACTACTGCCATTTTCGTTACCGGTCATCCACCGTGGCAGTCGGAACGGTTCTCCCTGAAGCCATTGCGGCGTACTAGTGGTATCCCACGTATTCTTTACCCGATGTGCAAATGCCTGGAAAAAGTTCTCTTCATCCTCGTCTTCTTCGTTAATCGCAGCAGACATCGGGCCCCGTGCGGTTCGGGACGATCGCGATCCGTCCGCTGGCGCAGCTCGCGAGGAGGCGGAAGCAGACGAAAAGGCTCGTGAGAGGCCTTCGCTCCGGTTTGGTTGCCAGTGTGACCGACCGCCTCGTGTGCTGAGGGCCAGTGATCCTATACCGCTCAATTCACGGTCGATCAACTCGCGACCCTCTCTCCAGCCACCGACGCCATAGCCGCTGGGATTATTCTCTAGATCTTCCGTCTCCTCTTCGGCTAGTCCCAGTCCACAGATATTCTTGACTCGACCGTAGAAGTTGAACAAAGTGGCGCAAACTGGGAGCAGAATGAAAACGGGGAAGAAATAATCGAATCCTTTTCCGAGCGGGGTCAGATCAATGAGGCGACCGAGGAACAGGTAGAATGTGGTATGTCGCCGCGTGTTTTCAGGTAACAGGGTCAGAAAGTTATAGGCGATGGGCACCGTAAGCCGTGCAACCAATCCAGCGTACCAGCATGCACTCTCCCCGTATGTGTTGCGACGCACCAAAGCACGGTTGCCCCAGACTTTTGCATCACTCACCCCGACCAGAGCGGCCGAGCACATGTACAGCAGCCAAGCAGATGCGGTGACCTGTCCCCAGAAGCCGACCGGTTTCGGGTCCTGTCGGTTGTGGGTCACCATCAGACTGACTACGGACAGCCGCGGGAGCAACGACTTGAACAATTCTGACCAGATGATGCAGACCGATGCAGCAGAGCAAAGCGCCCCCAGAAGCAGCCGGAAGTTCGGGATGACATGCACATAGAGATGGTAACGCAGGTAGGGCGTCAGGATCGTCACGCCGGACAGGATTGAGGAGCGACGCGGGAACTCAGCAAACTCCAACTTCGCTGATGCAGAAGAGTTGATAATTGCCTGGACGTCGGCCGCTGACACCACCAAGCGATCCCATTCGTCCATAAACCGAGCCTTCTGGTGTCGAGCGCGCTGGAGACGTCGGGTTAGATTCGCCAGATAGCGCTCCGTGATGACTGCGGGGACGGTGGCAGAACGGTCTGCAGCCTCATGGAATGCCGCCCGCGGTTCCGATGGACTGGATCCCTCTGGCAACTCTTCGATCCATTCCTGAAAGTCTCGTGCGGTGCCCGTCTTACGACTCTGTAGCTGTGCGACCTGGGATTCTAACACCTCCAAATCATTGACAGCATCCATCAGACGGTCATGGACCCGCGGGGCATGGGCTTGGATCCTCCGCAAGCGGCCACTGACATTGGCATTTCGGAACAGAGTGCGTGGAATTGACACCAAACCATGTCCCATCAAATAAATGGCCAGGACGAGACCCCACACATATGCAAGAGCCATGACAAGCCCCTTAATCGAGGTAAAATCGAAGCCATTCTGGATAGATACGTAGACCAACCCCACGGTCGCACAGCATAAAACTATCAGCTGATAGCGGGCATTGGAGCGAATGGAGTACAAAAGACGGCCTTTAGGTTCACGATATCCGGAATCGATATATTCGCCAAGCAATGGTAGAATAGCCCTGTAGAAATACACACATGATTAGCTCCAGCGACTTTGGTACTAATGCAAAGCACTTGCATAAGGTGGTACAGACCAAGTTAGAACAAAGATCAGCCAGTAGGCAATCCTCCAGGATACCAGAACCACCCGATCAGGAAGCCATATCGCTTTAGGACCGGTATCATCATCGCGTGAGCTGGAAGCGAGATCAATCGGCACTAGCAGTACAACGCTGGCGGGCAGTGCGAGGGCCAGAAATACGGGGACGGAGAGATAAGCCGGAGTGGCGCGGAGAGTAAGAAAGCGCCGCAAGAGTAACAGGACAAGAATACATATAGCAAACAAAGCCAAAGAGAAAAAAACACTGGAGCCCACAGGAACGGACGATGCGACAGACATCATAATGGAAGAAGAGCGAGGTTGAAACGACATTATTGCGATTAAGCCGGATAGTAGTCGTAGTAGTAATCGCAATTGATCATGACGAGCGAGAGGTGTGCGACAGATAGTAGTAGTATTGAACGAAAGACTGGTGAGGATACAAAAATGCAGAGTATCCCTATGCGCTGTAAAGAGAGATGTTCAGGAGGTCGTGTGCCGTGGTATAGAGACGGATGAGGCTCTCTCAGCCTTCCTCCGGAAAAGGTGACGCCAGCAAGTCACGTGGAATCACATGATGCAACCAAAAATGGAAGCGCGGGAAATTGGGCCTCGACGATGGAAACAGTCAGTCCCATGTAACTAATGTACGGTAAGTTGTACCTGGCAGTCGATCGTTTGTAGAGTACGGTTATCCTACTACTAGTAGTATGTACTGAGTATTACTAGACATCTATAATAAACTCGAGTCCATAGTTTGACTAGAATAATATATTGACAGCACCTTGCATTTGATTGTTTTCTCTTCTAACCGGCACAAGTACGTTGGATTCGTTGTTGTACTTATTGGCAGCTTGTTTTTCCTTTTGGGCCACCAATCGACCGACGTCTTGACCACTACCGCCAGACTGGTGTCCCTCTCTGTCTTTCCTCTTCCTCTTCCCTCTCTCTTATTCTTTTATTTTCATCTCACTCTCGCTGTCTGTCGTCTGACTGGACGCAGTAGCATTAGCAGAGTGTTGTGTGTAATCCTTTTCTTCTTCTTCCTTCGTTGCCCGTTGATCTGCTGCTTTTGCACATCCTCTTCCGTCTCTCTCATTCTCAATCTCACATTCGACCTTTTCCCTGTTTCGTCTCTTCTCTTTCTCTCCCTCATATTCTTCCTATTCTTAATTCTTTTCCTCTTAATTATTCTCCTTATTCGAGTGGCTTTATCTTTAAAGCCTTAAAGAGTGTTTCGACGGTGTTATCTTTTGCTACACACCCTCTCCCCGACCGTCCGCTCTCCCTGTACTCACCCAGTGAAACGTGGGCGGCAATCAGCCTTTTTCTAGTGTCGGACTTCACTTCCCTATAATCGCCATTTCTCCTGCTCGTTTTTGTTCGATTTTTACTCGACTATTATTACTTTCACGACGACTCTTTTCTGCGATCCCCGGCGCCCGTCTTTCCCAGCTTCCTCTCCTACGCCTACCGCAACATCCCTGTCATTCATTGATCTGACTTTGGCCTTCGCGCGACTCACGGCCTTTCCCACGCACACGCATACCTCCAATACACACACACCCCCACGGATTCGACCGACAGCTGGTGCCCAAAACGCTTCCCTGCTGTGTTGGTATTTCGTGTCTCGTGCTGTCATCTGTCCGTGATATATCACAACTGCGACGACGAGTTTCCGTCGCCGATCCGAGTCCCACGAGTCCCACCCGCGATCGACCTCGAACTTCTTCAATATCTGTTTTTCTCTCGTTCCCATTCGCATCCTCCTTCGCAAATCATCTCCTTGCCTCCGTTTTTCTACCGTCGTTGAACCGTATACGTATCCTCCCGGAAGGAAAGAAATACTGTCGGCGCTTTTCTTCCTTTTGGTTTCCCGTTTGACAGATCAATACATGGTGTGAGGGTTGGCGCTCCCCAGCGAATGCTGACGTCCGAAGACGACTTTTGCGGATTGCTCCTGGATCCCCCATTGACGGGGTAGCTGACATGAATCCCGCAAACTTCTCCAACGTTGGCGGGGCCATGCCCGGCGGAGCCAACCCGCAGATGCCAAACAATGAGAATGCAGTCATTTTCAACCAAGCCGTCAAAGCATTGCAAGCCCAGGCTCCCTTTTCCGGATGGAAAGCAGATGTCAGGGTACAGGAGCGGGCGATTAAAGTCTTTCAGATGTGAGTAATGGCTTCTGCCGCTCTAAGCGAGACTTTTGATGCTAATTTTTTACCGCCCAGTTTATCTTCTCTTCGACTACTCCAGCCACAAATAAACGTAGCCCAAGCTGCCCATGCTGCCCTGACTTTTGAGCAGAAAGCCTTAAGAGAGGCCAACCAAAGGGTACGCTGCTGGTCTACTCTTGTGTTACATTCAGCATCCTAACATTCCTTCTCTTTCTTTAGGCCGAGTACGATAAAGCGTGTAACGAGAAACTCGCTCATATTCGTGACACCCGTGCCAGACAGGCCGCTGTCATGCAGAATGGGATAATGCCTCCCGGTGTTGGGCAAAATCAAGTTCCGGGATCAATGCCTCCCCAGATGAACCGACCCATGCAAGCATCTCCTATTCCTAATCCAGAACAAGTGTCAATGGGAATGAACGACCCCAATCACCGGGCTGCCCTGCAGCAACAGCAACAACAGCAACGACAACAGCAATCACAGGCCATGCTGCAACAGCAACAGCAGCAACAACAACAGCAGCAGCAGCAGCAGTCGCAACCACAACCGCAACCGCAACAGCCGCAACGGGCGCAACGACCAGGGGCCAACGTCTCGTTACCCGACGATCTCGGTTCGCTGTCGCCTCAGGAGCATGAACAAGTTCGTCGACATGCCCAGCAAATCATGTTGATGACATCCCCGGAAGAAATAGAAAAGATTAAATTGAATCTGCAAAACATGACGACTGAACAAAAACAGTTCATTGCGAAAAAGCAGATGGATCCTTTAAGCTATTTCTTCCGCTGCCAGGCCGTGAACAACTTGCGGAGACATAAACAACGAAACATGGCTCATGGACCAAATGCTGCCAACAATCCCATGGTTGGCGATCCGATGTCTGCGCAACAGCGCCAGATGTATCAAAATATGATGAATCTTCAACGTAATTCGACGTTCCCTGGCCATGCTCAATCTGGCTTGGACCCTTCTTCGTTCATCGGCAATGTGGAAAACATTCAAGGTCAACAGGCGGACGGGTTGCGTTCTCAGGAGGCAGGCCAGCTCGTGGTACCCGCCAGTTCCTCTCAGATGAACCAGCCACCATTCCCAACGCCTCACAATGTGTACCAGCCTGGACAACCGCTCGACCAAGGGGGCCAAGCCGGTATGAACGGGGCCGGCATCAGCCCCCAGTTCCTGCCTCAATCGCAATTGCAGAATCCTCAAGCGGTTCAACAGGACAGATCTCAGCATGCGACACCGTCCCGAGCCCAGGCTCAGGCCCAGGCCCAGGCGCAAGCAGCCCGCATTCAAGCGGCCCAGAAGGCCCAAATGGCCATGGCCCAAGCGGGCCAAGGGAATCCTCAACTTCAGCAACAGATTGCTCAGCAGAGTCCTGCAATGCCGATGTTGAATCGTCCCATGCCCCCAGGGCAAATGTCTCCGACACAGGTAGCTGCCCAGGCCCGGCCTCCCTCGCGACCTCAGAGCATGGGACAGCATCCTGCTGGTGTCCAGTCCCTCCCTGGGCAGCCCGCGATTCAAGGTCGAGCCCAAATACCTGCGAATCTTCCTCCCCAGGTTCAGGCACAGCTAGCGCGAATGACTCCGGATCAACTTAATGCTTTTCTCAATGCACAGCGACGTCGCGCCCACCAAAACAATCAGGCACTCGCTCAGGCCAATGCTGCACTGCAACAACCCGTGTCCATGCAGCAAAGCCTGTCACAACCCGGGCAAGGCCAACCGATGGTTAATAGCCAGATGGACAATAACCAAGGTCTCCGGGCATCCCTTGGCCTCCAGCAGCAGCTTCCCAATATGGGCGGAGGGCAAATGCAGAATCAGATGTCACAGCAAATGTCTGCCCAACAGCAGCAACAGCAGCAACGTCAACAGCTTTACCAGATCCATCTTCTGCGCCAGCAAAGCAGTGGACTGGAAATGACACCCGACCAAATCAAGGAAATGGACGGTCTACTTTTCCCACCAGCGCTGATCATCAATAGTCAGACTTCACCTGTCCCGAAGCACGTCAAGACTTGGGGACAGCTGAAACAGTGGGCTGCTGAAAATCCCCAAGTCATGGGAGTAGATCCAAACAAGTTGATCACATTCCAAAAGTATCACTTGGCGCAAATTGTGGCTCAAGGGAAAAGAAATGGTCGCAACCTTGACCAAGCAGGTCAAGGTCATGGAGCGGCGATGCCAGCATCGGGCCGAAATCAATTCGAACAGCATTTCTCAGGGGGCCCACAAGGCCAATTGCCCATTTCAGTGCCACCGGTGACTCCCCAAGATGTTCAGATGGCGCGTCACCGCTTGGGTGTTCAGGTACAAAATTATACCGATGAACAGCTTCGGGATGTGCTGTTTAGGAGCCGGCTCAATAAATTGCAGACTGCCCGAGCCCGAGCAATGCAAGGTTTTGCAGGACAGAATGTCAACCAAGGCCAGATGGCCCAGCCAACCCAGCCAATCCAGCAACCATCAGCTATTGCACCACAGGGTACGCCGCAAGCAAAGCCGCAGCCTCAATCTGCACAGCAAACGCCGCAAGCAAACCAGCAAGCGCAGGCTGCAAAGGCGCAGAATGCAACGCCTGGCAAAGGGCCAACAAAGGGGCCTGCTGCGAAACAGCCGCCAAAGAGAAAATCGAACGCAGAAGAGTCACTGGAAGGCCATAACTCCTCAGGCCTGATGCCCACCCAGACTGCCGCCCCACAAGTTCCACAAGTTCCATCGGTGCCTGGCGCTACTCCTCGACCCAATCTCAACCTCACGCGTGAGCAGTTGGCTGCAATGACGCCTCATCAGCGCGAACAAGCGGAAGCATACATTCGAAAGCAACAGAATCAGAATCGCACCCCGATCAATCGAGCTGCTGCGGAGGAAGCATGGAACAACTTACCTGAACATATTAAACGACTGTACAACGACATCTCCAGGACCGTGCCCTTTGGCGATCCTATCCCGCTCCAACCAGAGCAGAAAGCCGTAATGAGCCAACAGCTTCGCGATTGCATAGATATGCTTAGCAGAATGGATACACTGGTACAGTGGTTCGCAAAGGTTCCTAATCAGGACAAGAACGTGAGGAGCTTGCTTGGGATGGTGAGTTTTTTTTTTTTTTTTTTTTTCTTTCTATTATACACTCAAACCCTCCCTGTACCCCCCGCCTTCCTTGCTTCTCCCATTCTCTTTCCCTCTTTGCAACCCGGAACCATATTTTCTGACACTTCGAATCACAGCGTATACAACTGCTGAGGCAGTTCAAACAAACCCCGGAATGGACGTTGAATGATGAACTCACTCTGTCGCCCGAACGGTTAACTGGTTGTATCGGTTACATAAGGAAGCTTTTCACTGCCATGATCCAACGTGTAAACCTCCAGCAACAGCATCAGCCTGCAGGTATGCGGCCAAATATGCCTCAAGGTCCGGCTCCAACAGTGCCACCAGCCAACCAAAACAATATGCCAGCTCTGAATGCGAGTAATCTACAGCAACTTCAACAACAAGAGGAAGCACTCCAGCGAGCACGCCGGGCTTCGAGCCAGACTACGTCAGGGGTCGCTCCTGGTGTCCCGCCGGCTCCATTTGGGGCGCCGTCTCCTCAAGGGGTTCCTCACGCCTACGGTCCTGGCAGCATGCCCCCCGAGAAGTTGAAGCTTCCTCCCGCGAAGAGGCGAAAGCATTCGCACGCTGGTGTTACTTCTGGGCAGGTTCCGACCCCCGGAACCGCAAGCGCAAAGACACCAACGGGCAAACCTACGGCTTCAGCGGCCTTCAAGTGCAGTGTCCCCGAATGCCAACATCACTACCATGGCTTTGCGTCCCAGTCTACGTTAGACAAGCACATTGAGGAAAATCACAAAGCCGAGGAGAATATCGAGGATCCGCTCCAGTTTGCTATCGAAAGCATGCGGAGTAGCCTGGTCAAAGAAGAGAAGCCGGAACCTAAGAAGGGTGTTACTGCGGAAGCTCCAACGGTGCCTGGCAAACATGAAGTGAAACCAGAGGGTGTGACACCGGTCACTACTGGCATGACTCCTATGGGCCGCGTGCCCAGCCATATCGGGCTTAAGTCCGCCTCACCTGCATCGAGCCAACAGATGACTCCTCGACCGTTTTCAGGCAAGGTGCCAACCGCTGCCGCTGCCATGAAATCTACTGTTAGCAAGGAGGCCAAGAAGGAAGCTGCTAAAGTTGAGCCATCTGGCATGGACACAGCAGCCAAGGATCCTTGGGCGGACAGTACGATTTCTCTTGAGGCGATCCACGACGCATTCATGGACTTTGGCAATGAGGGGCTGCCTGGGTTAGGAGTCGATCCGATGGACGAATTCCTTAATTCTGAAATGTTCACCACTGTTCAGTCCAAGGATACGCCGGAGTCGGTGGAGACAGGTGTCGGCACACAAACTCCGAAGGATGGCGAGCTCTCTAAGGATGAGGAAATGAACGTTAAAATTGGAAGTGATCCGGACGAGAACTGGATCCCAGCAGACTGGGTATACTTGCCTAGCCGGTTTGACGACGGTTTCATGCTCAATGAGCCCAGCGATTTCGATTGGGAAACCATTGACCGGAAAGAGGCTGATCTTAATGATGATACGGGAATAGCCATCTATGCCATGTAAATTGATGGCGTATTTTTATTGGTTTTTCTTTTTCCTTTACTTCTTTTCAATTTCCATTTTTTTCATACTTATTTACGAGGGTTTAATGATTTCAAAGCAAAGCAGATGGCGTGTGATTTGTTTGAGTTCTTTTGGCGTAAATATGAATGTTCGTGTACATTATGTTTGTTTGCAGGATATCACTGGGCAACTGGCCCATTCTTCCCGGGTTTTTGAATATCAAGCGTTTACAATACGAACAAAGTGATTCTCAGTAGTTTCTGGTATTGTACTGTTAACATACCGTCCTCCGCATTACTCTTATAGTCACGACCGGACGCTAAGCCCAATCAGGACATGATATCAGACGCAGCTGATAAGGTCCCCAAATCAGCCTCTCGTGATCTTCGTGCTTCGTGCCATCCTCTCCATCTCTCCTCCCCTCATCCATCCATCTACCCATTCATTGCTCTCTTTGTCCGGCATGGGTGGTCAATAGCCGGTTTACTCCTATCTTGGTTAACAATAATACTTGTCTTGCATTAAAAAAGGAATACCGAGTCAGTTTGCTACGTACGATCTAGCTTGGTCGTCCCCGAGTTCCCTACTACGACACTTTTTGGAACCAGATCCTATTCATATATCGCCCAAAATGGCTAGAGACCATCTAGTCATCCCGTTCCTAGTCACGATGATGCTCGTGACTGGGGTTTGCAATACCATTCTAAACAAGTTCCAGGTTGGTCTCCAGACCGCCGTCTACCTTCGAGCCCCATATCACTTTTGCTAACACGGCTTGATAATTAAAGGATATGCAATGTGTTCGGAATTGCGACTCTCTGGATCCTAGGGAACGAAAAACCTTTGAGCAGCCGGTTATCCAGACGTAAGTTCTTATCGAGTTACCCCATATATACTATACTCGCCATCAAGAGCATAGGCGCTGACTATGATGTGCTGCAATAGAATTCAGATGTTTATCGGAGAATCTGGTAGCTGGATCTTCGTTTTTGGCTTCTACGTATACCGTCAATATATAGTTCCACGTTTGACTAACGGAGCGTCACCTCTTCTTGCCGGTGGATACGACCCCGTCGACACGGATGACCGGTACGATAATGAGGATAATACGATTGATAATGTCGATGGCGCTTCTCGTCTCCCCAAACCATCAGATGTGGATGAGGAAGGGCGGGTGAAGCTCAAGGGCGCCAAGATCTTTTTGCTCGCCGCACCGGCATGCTGCGATATCGCGGGCACGACGCTCATGAATGTCGGTCTGCTTTTTGTTGCCGCTAGTATCTATCAGATGACTCGTGGAGCGTTGGTTCTCTTTGTTGGACTCTTCAGTGTTCTTTTTCTCCGCCGGAAGCTGTATCTGTACCAATGGACTGCGCTGGTCGTGGTCGTCCTTGGTGTTGCGTTGGTCGGTCTTTCTGGTGCGCTGTTTGGTGAAGAAGCGCATGAAGTACCGCAGGAGGATGCCACCGCTGCTGTTTTGCATGCGTTGATGCAGGCCCGGACTGTCGCACAGACCCCTGAGACGGTTAAAGTAGTCATTGGTGTTTTGCTCATCGCTGCCGCTCAGATCTTTACCGCGTCGCAGTTTGTACTGGAAGAATGGATTTTGGAGAACTATGCCATGGACCCACTCGAGGTTGTCGGCTGGGAGGGTATTTTTGGACTCTCCGTCACTGTTGTTGCATCAATGATCATGTACCTTGCCGTGGGACGCACACCGGCGGGCCGCTATGGATACTTTGATGCGAAAGAAGGCTGGCATGAGGTCTTTACTAACCGCAACGTCTCCCTCTCTAGTCTTTTCATTATGCTGAGCATTTTGTACTTTCCCCTCACAACAGAGCATTACAAGAATCCTAAACTAACTATCTTCCTTCGCAGTGGTTTCAACTTCTTCGGTCTCTCGGTGACCCGTACTGTATCCGCCACCTCCCGCAGCACGATCGACACCTGCCGTACCCTATTCATCTGGCTCGTCTCATTGGGTCTGGGCTGGGAGTCCTTCAAATGGCTCCAGGTCGCTGGATTCGCATTGCTGGTCTACGGCACTTTCTTGTTTAACGACATTGTCCGGCCTCCTCTCAAAGCATGTCTCCCACGAAACGTGTCAGAAAGACAGGCGTTGGTTCTGCCAGAGGAGCCGATTGAGCATGCTTGATTGATTGGAGTTGATTTTGGTTAGGTTTTTGGATTGCATGGTACGACCGTTCGTTGTTTGGTTTTTGTTTTTTTTATCATGTGACTTTTTTATGATGCCCGCTGCGTTTATTATTAGAATTATGATCTTTGTCTTTTGGTTTTTATAGGCTGTCCAGTTCGAGGTATATCGGCAGATGGTCGGCGGTGCATACACCCTTAGATTGGAACTTGCAATAATTTTCTGTCATCAGAACTCATTGAACGAATGATTAACTGCTCATAATATTCGACATTTTCAAGCGCAACGCTTATATTGTAGTTAAAGGAGAGAGCCTAAGATATGCAAAGAAAATACAAAGGAAATCTGTCTAGTAATGCCATCACAACAAACCAATCGAATGTTAAATACGATTCGAAAAGGGGTATACAGCACAATGTGCAATAATAATGACACAGAATAATAACACATCTAACGATGAAGAAAACAGACGACAAACCACTTCTCAAGCATCCAGCCTAAACCAGAACATAGAACGCACACATCATCGAAAGACCCAAGATCATCGAGAACCAGAAAAACGTATTCTTCGCAATCAACATGTCAGCATCTTAATTCATTTTCTGTAGCGGACAGGACAAAAAACTTACGTTAAGGGTAGTCTTCCCCCGAAGATACTTGGACTTCTGCACAGTCACAATGGGCAATTGAAGCATCATAGCCAGGAACCCGTAACCGCGCATTTTCTTCGTGATGCAGCTCATTACTAGCTCGTGCGCGAGTGAGCTGACTAGAAAGGTTATGATCATGGCGACGGGTTGGGAGAAGTGCGAGCGGGATGGGTAGTAGACGTGGCGGCGGAGGAAGTTGTGGACCGGGACGTTCCATTCGCGGGAAAATTCGAGCCTGTTTTAAGGTTAACGAACTTCTTGTTTGAGTTTGATAGAGAAGGGGAGGTGAGATGAAGCTTACCAGTCACATGAATTCCACCAGTCAGAATAGAAGTGACGGTCCGCGAATCTGGTGATCTCCGCAAATGCGCCGAGCAAGTACTCAAAGATGACCAAGAAAACAAGCAAGAAGGTGATCAAGAACGGGAACAGGAGCATGCTGATCGTCTCCGCGAGGACTAGGCCCTTCTCTGGGATACTCTCGACCACCTGCAAGTTTGCGTTGGCTTCGCTGAGTACCGGCACGATAAACTCTTCGCTCGTGTGCGTGAGTAGAAAGATGCAACCGAAGACAGCTGCCGTTTTGAATGCCAGTTCTGACCATCGGAGGTGGGGGTTGCGGGGATATTCCAGTTCGTAGCAGAGCGTGGGACAGAACATGTAGTCGAGGTAATTAGTGAAGGTAAGGTTCTGGGGGTATGTGACGCTGCCCAGAGGCGAAGTGAGTTCCATGGCCAAGTCCTCGCGCAGCTCTGGGATCGATCCGGACCGCTTGTGAGTGTGCTTTTGCGAGGGTTGGTGGACATGAGGGTATTGGTCCACGCCGTCCGTCGGAGCGGCCTTTGGGTTGTCGAGTAGAAACAGACGGCGCTCGATTTCGCTCAGATGCCCGTTGTAGAATGCGTAGGAGTGGATCTTCATGAGGAAGGTCAAGGTGTGGAGGGTAAAGAAGACCTGTGCCGTCCAGGTCCAGCGCAGCATGAACGGCCAACTGCAAAATTTAGTTTGCCATTTCCCCGTCCAAGGTTAGTGAAACTCACTTGATCCATAGAGCCAACCACGCAGCTTCAAACACGCTCTGTATAGCCATTCCGCCCCGGCGCCATCGCAGCCACCCCCGACTCCTGAAAACCTTTTGAAGCGGCAAAACCAATCCGCTGCTCACTACCATCGCGAGATCGCTAAGGCCCAGCTCCCAGACATTCGCCGACAAAATACCCCATACCCTGACTCTCAATGGGTAACCCGTGTCCTTGATATTCCGGAGGACAGTGGTGAAGACCATGATAGCCAGCGCAATCCAGAACAGCGCAAAGAACCCGCGGAAGTTATGGTAATCACTTCGCGGGTCGAAGTGGGATACGCGAGGGACATAGTCAATTGTATAGAAGAGGCGACGGCGCGCTCGAACTTGCGCTCTGGCTGTTGATATCGAGTGCGCGGACGGGGGGGCATCTTCGGGGACAGGGGTTGAACGGTCACTGTAGCTCACGGGTTAAATGTCAGATTGCTTGAACACGTATCGTGATATTTCCCATATGTAGTAGAAGGAGTCATACCTCGCATTCGACGCTGTTTGATCCGCATAAGGAGTGAGTGTATCGTCCTCCTTGGATGCGACCACACGCGGCCGCGCAATCAGATGGCCATTCTTTTGTTCGACAGCGGTCGACATCCTGAAGAGGGAGTCACGGGACACAGTAAGGAGACTCGATTAGCATTGAATCTGAAGAGATCCCCGGAAACACAGATGATTCTCGAGTATAAATATAAGCAGTCCTTGCAGGAGGCAGAAGGAAAACGCCAGAATGACAGGTTACGGAGGAGTGGATCTACGTCACCGGGCCCCCGATCGCCGTCGCATAGTACAGTAAGTAGTACATAGCATAGAGGACTCGATATACTGCCATTTCTCGACGAGATTACTCTAAATATATTGGCAGCAACGAAGCCATGTGTCCATAGGCCTCGTATTGCACAGTAATGGGACTGGATGCTCGTATTCGTAATACTAGATCTGTGTAAGCTGCCTTGAAGCCTCAGAAACCAGATATCACGTGGTATACACGTGATTGTTACAGAACGAGAACACTAGTCCATAAGAAGACTAGCGCAACAGATGCCAAGACTGACACCCAATTGTAACACGTGACCTAGAGCGCCATGTTGCTGGCGGCTGTAAATAGAATAGCTGTATACAACTATCGACTTCATCTCTTCATTCCGCGGTCGGGAATTGCGCAGGCAGGCTTCTTCGCTTTCCCTCTTCTTTGAACTTATATTTTGAATTCCCTTGTTAATACCTTGTCTCTCAGTCACCCCGTTGGGGGTCCTTCTGCGACCGCCATGTCATCCCGTGAGTGCTTTCCTGGAGCCCCTTCTCGGTCCCCCACACTGCATACGTTCCTATCCCGCAATGCGATGGCTAACCCGGCCGGTACCTGCGAATACAATTAGTCAAACAATTCATCCGAAATGTTCGATCAGCCAAGACTATCGCCGATGAACGAGCGGTGATCCAAAAAGAGAGCGCGGCGATTCGTGCATCGTTCAGGGAAGAAAGTCACGATTCGGGCACACGGTCAGACACCTGTCCTCTATACTGGGATTTCGGACAACGTCTCATACTTGCGTCTCAACAGGAGAAATAATGTGGCTAAGCTGCTTTATCTATTCACCCTCGGAGAGCGGACACACTTTGGTCAGATCGAATGTCTGAAGTTGTTGGCGTCCCATCGATTCGCCGACAAGCGACTGGGGTATCTTGGAACTATGCTGTTGTTGGATGAGAATCAGGAAGTCTTGACGCTAGTGACCAACTCGCTTAAAAAGTATGACTTATTCTCTACTCATGGAGAGAGGTCCCGGGAAACTATTGACTGACGTGTTATTCGCAGTGATCTAAATCATTCGAACCAGTATATCGTCGGACTTGCTCTCTGCGCCTTGGGTAACATCGCCTCTATTGAAATGTCCAGAGACCTTTTCACCGAAGTCGAGTCCCTCCTTTCCACCCCGAACCCCTACATCCGGAGAAAGGCCGCATTGTGTGCCATGCGTATCTGTCGCAAGGTCCCAGATCTGCAGGAAAACTTCTTTGAAAAAGCCAAAACACTCCTTTCAGACAGAAACCACGGTGTTCTGCTGTGCGGATTAACGCTTGCCATCGACATGTGCGAAGCTGAAGAAGCTGAAGAGGGACAAGAAGGTGTGATCGAGATGTTCCGGCCGCTGGCCCCTGCTCTGATTCGCGCCCTGAAAGGGTTAACAACTTCCGGTTATGCGCCTGAGCATGATGTGTCTGGGATTACGGATCCGTTCCTGCAGGTGAAGATTCTACGTTTCTTAAGGGTCGTTGCGAGAGGTGATGCGGAGACCAGCGAGATGATCAATGACATTCTGGCCCAGGTGGCCACCAATACCGACTCGAACAAGAATGTAGGAAACGCGATTCTCTACGAGGCCGTCCTTGTTATCCTCGACATCGAAGCCGATTCGGGATTGAGAGTGTTGGGTGTCAATATCCTCGGAAAATTTCTTGCCAACAAGGACAACAACATCCGCTACGTCGCTCTCAACACATTAAACAAGGTCGTGGCGATTGAACCAAATGCCGTACAAAGACACCGCAATACGATTCTCGAGTGTCTTCGTGATCCTGATATCAGTATCAGACGACGGGCGCTCGACCTCAGTTTCATGCTGATCAACGAGAGCAACGTGCGTGTTCTTGTTCGGGAGTTGCTCGCTTTCTTGGAAGTTGCCGACAACGAATTCAAGCCTTCGATGACCTCCCAAATTGGCGTCGCCGCTGACCGATTTGCACCCAACAAGCGCTGGCATGTGGACACGATTCTCCGGGTTCTTAAGCTCGCCGGTGCCCACGTCAAGGAACAGATTTTGTCGTCTTTTGTCCGTCTCGTTGCTACCACCCCAGACTTGCAGACCTACTGTGCACAGAAACTTTACGTGGCATTAAAGGAAGATATCTCGCAAGAGGGTCTCATTCTTGCTGGTGCGTGGGTGATTGGTGAATATGGTGACAACTTGCTTCATGGTGGGCAGTATGAGGAGGAGGAACTCGTCAAGGAGGTCCGGGAGAGTGACATAGTGGATCTCTTTATCAACATCCTCAACAGCACTTCTGCATCGCAGACTGTGGTGGAATACATCATTACGGCTTCGATGAAGCTTACGGTGCGCATGACGGATCCGTCCCAGGTTGAGCGTCTGCGTCGGTTCCTTAGCAGTAAGACCGCAGATTTGGACACTGAAATTCAGCAACGCGCGGTTGAATACACCAACCTCTTTGGCTATGACCAGATCCGGCGCGGTGTCCTGGAACGGATGCCTCCACCAGAGATTCGGGAAGAGCAAAGGATATTGGGCCCTATGACTAAGAAACGCCAAAGCAAGCATCTCAAGGACAAGACGAAGAAGCCTTCCAAGCCAGCAGACTCAGATCTGCTGCTCGACCTCATCAGCGGCAATGAGGCTCCTGCGTCCGCCGGCCCAACGCCAACCAGTACGCAGAACACCGCAGACCTGTTAGCGGATATCTTGGGCGGAGCGGATTCCGGTGTCTCGTCGCCTGCACCCCAGCCCACCCCATCAACCAACACCAGTGCCATTATGGATCTGTTCGGATCGAATGGCGCCACCCCATCCCCTAAACCAGCGGAGCCGGCATCCGCCTCGATGGACATTTTGGGTGGCCTGGCGTCAACCGCTACGCCGCCGCCAGCAGCCGCGGTGCCACCAGCACACACGGCATTCAACAAGCACGATCTGTCGCTTAAATTGCAGGTGCAACGGGCCAGCAATGGCAACGCACACATCCAAGCCCGTTTCCGCAACTCTTCGCACGTCAGCAGTTTTTCCAGCGTAGGGTTGCAAGCTGCCGTGCCGAAGAGCCAGCGGTTGCAGCTGGGTGCGATTAACAAGGCTGAACTCGAGGCTGGAGATGAAGGTGTGCAAGTAATGAAGATCGCATCATTGAATGGGGTATGTTTCTTCCATCATTTTAGATTGATTTGACCCTAACTATACTAGACACTCCCACCTAAACTCCGCCTTCGTCTTCGAGTAACATACGCAAAGGACGGATCGGAACCGGTGACGGACCAAGTCGACTGGAGTGAGCCCTGAGCACTCAATTGACTTTCTTCCTTTGTCCTCCTTTTCTTTAATCTACCCCGGTACTCTGTATACCTCTAATCATGATCTGTCACCTCCACGACACGCCATCTTTTAGAAAAAGATGATGCACTTTACGAGTAGCAAATTGGGAAGGAGGGGGTTTTCTTATCCGTATTATAACGGGGCACGAGGCTCCGGTATTCCTTTATTTCTGTTGTGTCTATTTATTCCCTGATTGGTAATACATCGTACATAGTTACTAGATTAGGTACATGACATACCCTTGTCCTGGTTACTTCTCTTGTTCTTTTCTTTCTATTCTTGTGGTAACCGCAACTCCATTGATGTAGTGTATTTATTTTGCGAATGTTTCAAAATATAAATAAAATACAGCATCACTATGCATATCTCCCCTTGATCACTATGAGCAAAGTACATATTTGTACTCGAGGTACTCTACTCCGGACCGTACTGTACAGCCCGACGACAACAAGCCCGTCCCAACGCGTCCCCATACCCCATGCATATGATCATCAAATGGAATGAAACTGTTGTTAATACCAACCATGCAGTGTGACTAACAACTTACCTACGAATTGATAACACATGTGATGTACCTCACCGGAAAGAGTACTCCGTTTATAAGAGATGTAAGAAACCGGGCGTTGTCCGTACTCGTATCCGGGCCCGTGCCTGTGCCCCGCAAGTCGGTAGGATACTGTATGTACGGATACGTGCCCCGGAATGGAAACACCGGATCGAACGTCATAGAATAGGTTAGGGTTATAGGATGTAGGTAGGGATATAGGTAAGGATAAAGGTACGCAAGGTATAGGTGGGTCGGTATATAAGAAGAAATAATAAAGAAACCATATCATAAATATCATTAATCGTGATAAATCCATCGTCAGTCAAATTGTTCGTTTCGTAAGATCAAAGAGATTGGAAAGAAAAGAAAGAAAAGGAGAAAAAAATATGAAAAGAGAAGACAAGACAATCATGGAACCGAACGCCAACCAGATCCGATAGATGGTAGTAGATCGTGAAGTAGATGGGATGCAAAGATGAGTAGATCGTATAGACATTCTAAGTAGATGAGAGAGAGCGGGTATGTGGTAGGAGATATGCGTATGATAAATCGTAAATGTGTGGAAGAATATAGACAAAAGAAATGAAAAGTCAATGCAGAAGAATCGAATCAATGCAAAGCAAAGAGAGGAGAAAATGCATGCAAGTGTGAAAGACCGATATCGTAGTCGGACCGTTATATATCTGTTTCTGATAGGTGAGGCGACCTCTACGCATACGTCGATTGACGTCTCGACGCTGTTTGATAATCATCGTACGAATAAGCCCTAGGGGGCCCGTGATGATGATTGTACGGATCCCGCGCGGTGTAAACCACGTCATCTGGCCCATACTCGCGAGCGTACTTGGCGTCTGGCTTATCCTTCTGTCCGAATAACGGACGGGGAGCAGAGGACATTGGCCGCGGGCCGCGTGATTCTGGAGCATGAGTCGTATAGCTTCGCGAGGGCTTTGCGGCTGCTCTCGTGGAGAAGGAGGGGCGCTCTGGAGTAGCGAGCGGGTGAGTATGGGAGTGAGCAGCGTGAGGGTGAGGACGGGGTGGGGAGTAGCCGCGTTGGTAGCGCGATGAAGTCGAAGCCATTGCTGGAGTGGGCGGGACCTCGCGGAGGGGTTCTGATTCGGTAACGATCTTATAGCGGGCTGAGGCCTTGGGTGGACTGGTACCGTGCATGTCTGGGGTGCCGGGGCTGGAGTATCCCGAGTCATAGCGGTCTGTGCTGCGGACTCTGGATGATCGCGAGGTGCCATCGGCGTAGACCATGTTCACGAGGAGGTTGGTGGAATCACGTTTTGAGCCGGAACGTGAGTATGCGGCTGCTGTGGTTGCCGACCGGGAGGGCTGCAGAGTCGGTCGAGTCGCGGATGAGGCGGCTTTCGCTGCTGGCGATGTGGCGGCGGTGGGCATAGGGGGCACCTTGAAAGTCTCATAATGGGCCCGTGGCGGTGGCGGATGGGTAGTCGACGGCTCCAAATGCTCATACGAGCTATTCCGGGACGAAGATTGTCGCACGCTTTCGCGACTGCTATGTTTGGCTCGGGGAGTTACGTTTGAGCGTGCTGGTTCCGATGCTGGGGGCTCAGTGTGCTCGCGCGGTCGCTGTGGCGAGCGGGAAGGACGCCGACGAGAGTCGATCTCGATGGGCGCATTTCCTTTGGAGCGCATGATGTAGTCGCGAGCCGTGTGGTGCAATTTATCGTGCTTGGTCTCGTATTGATCCGAGTCTTCATCGTCTTCCTCCACCACCTCAGGCTGGAATCGTCGCGATTCGGTAGCAGGATGAGTACTGGTACTCCTAGGCTTGTGAGGAGAAGAGGCCGACCGCTTGTCTGGACTCGCTTTTCTCGACTCTGACGGTCGCGTATAGTTACGCGAGGGCTCAGAGTCATAACCCGAGGCATCGGTGTCGATATAGACAGTTTCGTATTTCTCGTAAGCTTCCCGTCGTCGTTCCTTGGTTCGGGACTTGTCCCGAGTGGAATGGGACGTCTTTGTACTATCACGAGCAGCCGCTTCTTTGCTAGCGCGGAAGGGATTGAAGGGACTGCTGGTGGTAGTCGTCGGCCTGGGTTTCCTTCTCTCTTCGGCACGAGGCCTCCGACCATAGTCATCGTGCTTGCGAGATGTGCCCCGGGGAGTCTTCTCATCGGGAGAATGGTAGAATCCATCGTCAAAATAATCAGCCGGCATGCGCTCTTCGTAGATCCGACCATCGCGATATTCACGGACATTGCCGCCAGCACGGGGCGAGGCATATGGGTGCTGGTCCTTCATCTCGCGACGCAACTCGGCCAAGCGGACCTTCTGGTCATATTTGGTTCTGCGGGAGGGATCAGAGAGCAATTCGTAGGCCTGTTGGACCCGTTGAAACTGGTCCTGGGCCTCATTGCGAAGGGATTCATCTTTGATCTTGTCGGGATGGCATTTCAACACAAGTTTCCGATGGGCCGACTTGATTTCGGGTAAGGTGGCGTCTTTGGGGACAGCCAGAACGACGTAGGGATCGATGTCCATAACGACATGTATCTGTATGGGTTGTTTAGGAATTGGTAGGGAGATTGGCAGGGTGAAGGAAAAACATCAATAAATACAAGTGAACAGGCAGTGACGTGGGATCAGCCGTTCATCCAGAGAAAAGAATAGAGACTAAGCTGAGGGGATAACGGAATAACACAAGAATAGGTATAAAAGATACAGTGGCAATTGACCTGGCGGTGAGTCTTTTATTCTTCTTCTGTTACTAGGACTAGGATACAAGAAAACTACTAGTAACTAGTAGAAGTAAAGATACACCGTTACTCACCCCGCCGAAGAATGAGTGGTCAGCCAGTATTAGTGACGCCTCACCCGGGCTGTGTAAGTGGGCGAATAGAGACAGCTGACTCGGAGAAGTAATACGCTGCCATTACTCCTATTACTGCTATTACCAAATCACGTGGATCTCCTATTCAGGACACTTGCATAGAGGGGTATCGCATGGAATTCTGTGGACGGAATTCCGACCAGATCGAAATGCTGGGGTTTCAGCCAGTAGAATCCTGCAGGCGAGCGCTGGCTGTAGGGATGTGATATCGTCTCACTCCTCACATCTCACACCAATCATTGCCTCCATTCACAAAAGGTCATAGAATATGCACAATGTGATGCACTCCCCAGACACGCCAATCCAAAACCTCTGTCAGCAGTCGTATTGCAGATGACCAGCTTGATCAACGGTGCGAAGGTACCGGCACTTGTACTTGTAACGGAGGACAGCCGTATGTCTCACTGCTTATCGTATCCTGGACCCTCATCCAGCGGAAGCGCCTTCTGCATCGGAAGCTCCAGATCAACCACTATGGGCGTGTTAAACCTTTTCCCTCCGCGATGCGGCCAACTGGTGCCCATGATAGCTGCATTGACAATACACGTCTCCTGTCGCGATGCTCGCGCTCGGATCGCATGATCGCTGGCATCATGATCACCACCACATCCTTCATACTCTGTCATCTGTCGTCTCTCCATCGCTAACCGGTTCCCGTTCGTGGCAGAGCCAGAACCAGAGCAGCCAGAAACAAGGCTCTGGTCTTCCATGCGTGATGTCGTACAGTCCCCATGCACCCACAACCCGGGATTATCCAAGCGCGGGGCTTTCTTCCCAGTAAGATCAACAAGGCTCTGCTTCTTACTTCCCGGGGGGGGGGCAGCACTCCAGGCACCACCACCACCTGGTCCTTGGCCGCGGGATCGGTTTCACTTGTAGAAATCCACCGTACTCGTTCATAGCCTCGCGATTCGTGTACATGGCCACATACTGCTAATTTCGGTCGGACACGCTGCAGGACCTGACGCAATGCCGCACATCCGACCGGGCCTCCTGTCGCTCGGTTATCGCGGTGTGAATATGGAGGTGTATGGGTTACCACTATATCCGTATCCCGTGGTATCTGGTCCCAGAGGGCCTCTGCATCAGCCGCCTCGTACCCGAACGCCCAATTACCGCTGGATGGTGAATACGGCGAACCAAATACTTTGAACACTGTCTTTGGACCATCGGGACGGGATAATTGGACTACGGCCGACTCGTGTCTGAGGTATAGAATCGAAAAAGCTTTCGTAATGGCTTCGATACATTCTTGTGGATCTTCTAGATGGTCCTTCTGGAAGCCGGTGCCGTGTCTCGCGTAGAACGTGGGATCGAGCGAGACATCGTGGTTGCCTGCTACTATTAGTCCTTACTCTTATTCGGCTATTATTACAACTTAGTAAAAAACCTACCAGCCACTATAATCTTCACCTCATAATCTGACTTGGCAATCCAAGCGATAGTTCTACGCAACTCTGATAGACTGCCAAGGTTAGTCAGATCCCCGGCATGAATCAGGACATCCCCTGCAGGCAGCTTGAAGCCTGCTTCTGCGGGGGTGTAAGTATGTGTATCAGAAACACAAACAAAGCGAGTTTTTCGATGCATGTTTGGATAGGGAACCCAGGTACAAAGTACATACTCCGTAGGGTATAAGTACAATGTACAGAGAAACATCTATGTGCTTAGTCAGCGGACCCAGTGATCTTCGGACTCATGATGGCTTCTCCGGAGGGTCTTGAAGACTACGGAATAGGTATCATCATTGGTCGTGGAGGGATCTGTCATCGCAGTTCAAAGTGTTCGCGTTGAGTATTTATCGCGTTTAGTGTGTACTATGAATGCAAATCCCGTATACGGAGTACATAGTCACAAGTCCTCTGAGGTAGAACACCAGCTTGATAAGACAGTCACATGGGTCAGACATTCAACCAACCAGATACTTTCCGGTCTGGGCCAAAAGTAGGGGAAATTCATAAAGTGTAACCTCTTATCAAGTTTCCTACACGGGAGTACTCATACCACCGAAGTAGATAACACGTGATTAGTGGGTTTTGATTGGCCGCCGCCACCATTAGGGCTGGGGCCCTCAACCCGACCGCCCGCACAATTAGCCTCGCGGGTCTCGCTTAGCCATTGCCCATTCGAACGCCCATCCGGTATCGTTGTGTGCGTTGAACCTGACCACAACGACAACAACCGCCGACAACATACATCCCAAGGGAGTATCCTAGAGCAGTGCTCTTCCTATCGCTGGATATTTTCCTTTCGAACCGGTGACAACAGGATGTCCGCTACCGAGCCAGTTGTATGTGCCGTCGCATCGAACCCCCGTTTTGTCTTCATTCGAATCTATACGCGATATCTTTTACTGCAGTTGTGTGTCTGGAATGGAACGCTGACGGATTATCTTAGGTCGTCATTGACGGCAAGGGACACCTTCTTGGTCGCCTGGCCAGCACTGTTGCCAAGCAGCTGCTCAATGGCCAGAAGATCGTCGTCGTGAGATGTGAGGCCCTTAACATCTCCGGCGAGTTCTTCCGTGCGAAGCGTACGTTCGAATCCTATCCCGTATTTTGATTTCGGTATCGTTGTGTACATCGTGGATTTGTGAGGCGTGGTGTGGAAATCGGCAAATGAGGAGGAACGAGATATGAAGCGGATTTAGGACATGAACATGGAGGACACAACGATACCGATTACGAGAAAGAAAAACAAAAAGAAAATGAAAGAACGAAAACTGACTCCGGATATAGTCAAGTACCACTCCTTCCTCCGCAAGATGACCCGTTTCAACCCTACTCGCGGTGGTAAGATTTCACCTCCTGGATATACGATATGGGATGCAGTACTGAACGCATCTTTTCAGGTCCCTTCCACTTCCGCGCTCCTTCCCGCATCTTCTACAAGGCTGTCCGCGGCATGATTCCCCACAAGACCGCCCGTGGTACCGCCGCTATGGAGCGCCTCAAGGTCTTCGAGGGTGTTCCTCCCCCGTATGACAAGAAGAAGCGTGTCGTCGTTCCCCAGGCTCTGCGTGTCCTCCGCCTCCGCCCTGGCCGCAAGTACTGCACCGTTGGCCGTCTGAGCCACGAGGTTGGCTGGAAGTACCAGGACGTTGTTTCCAGGTACGTTATATATATTATCTGCTACAACAATGGATGAAGGCTGATGATCACAGACTCGAGGAGCGGAGAAAGGTTAAGAGCAGCGCATACTACGAGCGCAAGAAGGCCGCCCGCCGCCAATTGGTCTCGTCCCAGAAGTCGGCGGCTGTTAACGACAAGACCAAGAGCCAGCTTGCTGAGTACGGATTCTAGATACCTCGTTGCTCGGCCGGTTGCTTTTGTCAATGAAATGGTTGGGTTGGGGATCGCAAACGGTTTTCTTTCAGCGAAGTTGAACGGGGCCACCAAAATACCGATCGACGTCTTTTACTTTTTTCCATTGTCCTCCCTTATTTCTGCTTATGATGGGGTACCACAATGTCTAATTTGTGACGGGCAATGGGAAGAGGGCTGGAGAGACCGATATCTGTTTGAAAATGAGAAACAAAGACGAATATTAAAAAAATTTCATACGGAGTCGTTTGGGATGAACAAGGTTGTTTCAAAATAGTTGACCCATATTGTTTGTTTTCGCGCCGTGGCGGTTATAATCCGATTTCATGACTACGATACTTTTTCTAGTAACCACTTTTGTTCTCCTACTCGTACCTTTATACAGAATACTCTCTACTATGTAGAGTTATGCATGTATAGCGAGATATTTCCGTCCGCCCGCTAGCTCCGCGGCTCCCCCAGATCTGAACCGACTTCCCCGCAACTTTACTCGGTAGTCGGTGGATACGCGAAGCTACGTACTCGCCGCGTACCGTACCTTTTAAAAAGGCTGCGTGATTTGTACTCGGATCCCTCCATCATGGACTCTGGATTCTCATCCCTGTCCCTTACATTCCTCTCTGTAATCCTCTGAATTTTGCGTATTTCTTTTTTTTTTTTTGTCAATCCACATCTCCCAATTTGTTATCACCATGTCAGACGCCAAATCCAGATTGTCAGGTCTGTTGGGCCACTTTGTTGGTTCCCAACCTGCTCCTAAGATCAACTTCCACACCCTCTCGCCGACATTCTTCTTGCCCCGGGCGGCTGCTATTGAGCCGGAAGTAAGCGTTCCTCTCTATGCTGTCCGGTTCTTCTGGTTTCTTACAGGAGCTAATGGTTGTAGGCAACGGCTGTTCACCATGTCACCAGGGATGGCAAGGTGCTTCGCAGGTCGTACGTTGAGGTTGCGGATCGGGCACGCGGACTGGCGTATTGGATCAAGAAGCATGGCTACAAGAGAGTTGGGATTTTGTGTCCTAATACGCCGGCTTTCTTAGAGTCTATCTTTGGTATTTCTGCTGCCGGGGCTATCAACATCGGTAGGTTGCACCCAAATCTCTACTCATTTACTGAAGCATAATAACTAACTGGACACAGCGGTAAACTACCGTCTCAAAGAAGACGACATTGCCTACATCTTCACCCACTCCGAAGCCGAGGTAATCATTGCGGATGAAGAGTATCTTCCGCTCCTGCAAGCCTACCGAGCCGCAAAGCCCGGTGTCCCGATTATTGTGGACACGGACACGGACGCGGCAGCCGGTCAGATGACCGGCCCGTTTGACTCTGCCGTCTTTGAAGGTCTGAATTATGATTCGGAAAATGGCGGGAAAGGCTGGGAGGCGCTTGAGAGCCAGGCTGCTAGTGAGGACGATGTCATTGCGCTTGCTTACACAAGTGGCACGACGGCGAAGCCGAAGGGTGTGGAGTTTACGCATCGGGGATGCTATCTCGCTGCGATGGCTAATATTGTCGAGTCGGGATTGAATTATCATGGGAGGAGGTGTCATTATTTGTGGACGTTGCCTATGTTTCACGCAATGGGTGAGTGTGCTTACTTTTATCTACCACGCGACTCTAACCTTTTTCAGGATGGACCTTCCCATGGGCGGTTACGGCAGTCCGCGGAACGCACTACTGCCTGCGCAAGATTGATTACCCCCAGATCTGGAAGCTCCTAAAGGAGGAGCAAATAAGCCATTTCAACGCTGCCCCGACTGTCAACACGCTGCTCTGCAACTCCGATGAAGCCGAAAAACTCCCTGAGCCAGTAAGCGTCACTGTGGCTGCCAGCCCACCTACACCCCATCTCTTCGAGCAGATGACCAGCCTGAACCTGCACCCCGTCCACGTCTATGGTATGACCGAAACATACGGCCCGATCACCAAGGGTTACTACATGCCCTCGTGGGATAACCTCCCAGCCCACGAGAAGTACCAGAAGATGGCTCGCCAGGGCCACGGCTTCTTGACCAGTCTGCCGGTGCGGGTGATCAAGACCGATGTTCCCGAGGGAACCATTACCGATGTCGAGCGTAACGGCAAGGAAATCGGAGAGATCGTTTTCATTGGTAACATTTGTGCTCAAGGATACTACAAGGATGTTGAGGCGACGCGGAAGCTCTTCTTGGGTGGTGTCTTGCACTCGGGCGATTTGGCTGTTTGGCATGCAGACGGGGCTATCCAGATTCTGGACCGGGCCAAGGATATCATCATTAGCGGTAAGCCTCCCTCGCTTCTCACCTTCCTCATTCCTGGTGATGCTAACAAAATTCAGGTGGCGAAAACATCTCTTCTGTAGCCCTCGAATCCATGCTCGTCACACACCCCGATATACTCGAAGCTGGCGTGGTATCCGTACCCGACGCCCACTGGGGCGAACGACCTAAGGCGTATGTGACGGCCAAGCAGGGCAAGACATTGGTCGGTCAAGATGTGATCAGCTGGGCGCGCAACAAGAGCGATATTAGCAAGTTTATGATTCCTCGCGAGGTGGAAATTGTGTCGGAGTTGCCTAAGACTAGTACGGGGAAGTTGAGGAAGAATGTGCTGAGGGATTGGGCGAAGGGTGCTGCTCGTGCTGAATAGATATGTTTAGATCTAATTAGTCATGGTATGCTCTAGAGATGAATCGATGGATATATAGTACACAAAAATTTTTTTTTTTTTGTTTTTTTTTTTTTTTTTTTTTGTTTTTAGCAGAAGTATGAATACGATAGTCTTCTAGAATATAGGAAGAGCTGTAACCTTCATTGTTTAATTACTTGCAAGGTTCAAAAGGACTGTGCACTGGACATTGTCACGCAGAGTTCGTCTGACCATCTTCCTTTTTCATCTTCGCGCTATTCTTCTCTTCAACTGTCCCAAACCCATCGAATTCGTTTTCTTTGTAATATCTCTCGCTCAGTTCTGCCTCATCGTATACAAAAAAACGCCTCGCTTGTCTCCCCGCCTTCGTAGCCGCCGCCTTCTCTGACTTCCTCACTCGGTTCTTTCCCCTGTTCGCATGGTTTGTCTTCAACCACTGTTTGCTCGGTTTCTCTTTCTATATATACATCTCTGCGGCTTTGGCTGACTCGCATCGCAAGGCTCGATTATAGCCTCTCAGCGTCTCTCCCGGTCCTGTCTGCTTGTTTCTACACCACAACCTCTAGTCCTCCTGCCACGCGCTACATACACAGCAATACATACTTCGATAGATACATACGTGCATAACGTACATAGTCCAGCGCCCTGAAGAATACTTTGTTTCCTCCCTTGCCTTCCCTGTTGTGCTCCAGCTCCGCCGAAGCGGCCGATCAATTCTCGGGCGCGCTTCCTCCCGTTTCCCTCCAAACGCTACCTCAATATTCGGCCCCATAAGCGATCCTATATCGGATCGAGTTCTACATTTTTGTCTCTTTTCCTGTGCCTCGCCGTTGGTCTCGATCAGGGTAGCTGAAATCTTGCCCGAACACTCCGACATCATCGGCCCCGATAGGCACTCGACCTTGTGACGGTTTTCCTCTCGGATCGGTCTCTGTTCTTCTTTCTCGACTTGGCTCCGACTCTGGCTGAGGCCCCATGAAGACCCTGTTCTCGTCAGGAGTCTATTGTGTGAACGACAATAAATCAGAAGGAATATCACTGATTAAGGAAATTTAAAAAGGGAAACAAAGAATCTCATGCCCCGCTCACGACAACCCGCTCGATTCCCGAGCGAACTTCCCTCCGGGTCGTCATCGTCGACATCGCCGGAACGCGCCGCCGATGATGATACGGATTTCTTCACAGCCCAGGCAAACGATTCGCAATCTTCCGTTGGCATTTCCAATTACCGTGATCTCGATGGGCAAAGCGGGCAGGACATCATGCTCCCGCCCATCGGGCGTCTGCCCCCCGAGATCCTCATTGCGATCTTCGCCCGCCTCAGCTCCCCCTCCGACTTGTTGAATTGTATGCTGGTGTGCAGAGGTTGGGCAGCAAATTGCGTGGGGATACTATGGCACCGGCCGTCGTGCAACAGCTGGGATAATCTGAAGAGCGTCGCGGCGACGGTGGGGAATCCGAGCAGCCTGTTTTCCTACTCGGAGCTCATTAAGCGGTTGAATCTGTCTGCGCTGACGGATGTCAGCGACGGCACGGTGGTGCCATTTGCTCAATGCAACCGGATCGAACGGTTAACGTTGACCAACTGCTCGCACCTCTCGGATACGGGCGTGTCGGGTCTGGTCGATGGGAACCGGCATCTGCAGGCGCTGGATGTCTCAGATCTTACTTCCCTCACGGATCACACCTTACATATTGTTTCTCAGAATTGCCCCCGGCTCCAAGGGCTGAATATCACCAATTGCGCCAAGGTGACTGATGAGTCGCTTATTGCTGTATCTGAGAATTGCCGGCAAATCAGAAGGGTGCGCATTCTTCATTCCGTTAAATATGTTCATGGCTAACTAGTGCAGTTAAAACTAAACGGCATCACGCAACTCACTGACCAAACCGTCATGTCCTTTGCCCAAAACTGTCGAGCCGTCCTCGAAGTCGATCTACATAATTGTAGACTCGTCACCAGCGAATCCATTACCGCACTCATAAATGCACTCCGGAGTCTCCGAGAACTACGACTGCAAGACTGCAAAAATATCGACGATTCGGCATTCTTGTCGATCCCCGATTATTTGATGCTCGATACCCTTCGCGTACTCGACTTGACGTCATGTGATCTCATTACGGATGAGTCTGTGGAGCGCATAATCAATGCGGCCCCTCGTCTACGGAATTTAGTACTTTCGAAATGTCGGCTCATCTCAGACCGCGCGGTTCTGTCGATTTGCAGACTTGGCAAGAACTTGCATTATGTGCATCTGGGCCACTGTTCGAATATCACAGACTTTGCGGTGGTACATCTCGTCAAGTCGTGTAACCGGATCCGGTACATTGATCTGGCCTGTTGTAACAACCTGACAGACCGCAGTGTTCAGCATCTGGCGACATTGCCAAAGTTAAGAAGAATTGGCCTAGTCAAGTGCCAATCGATTACCGATAGAAGTCTCTTTGCCTTGTCTCAGCCAAGGGCGTCGACTCACCCGCTGGGTGTTAGTAGCTTGGAGCGGGTGCATTTGAGTTACTGTCTCGAGCTGACTTTGGAGGTGGGTTGCTTTTTATCTACTTTGTCAAGCTATGCACTAACAATATCTAGGGAATCCAAGCTCTGCTCAACCAATGCCCTCGTCTTACCCACCTCAGTTTGACCGGAGTGCACGCATTCCTGCGACCAGACCTCACAGTACACTGCCGCGCGGCACCATCGGACTTTACGCAACAACAACGACAGCTGTTCTGCGTTTTCAGCGGCGACGGCGTGGGTCGACTCCGGGATCGCTTGAACGAGATCCATCCTCCTCCAGTCGAGACCATGTTCGATGACGAAGATTTTGATGAAGACGAAGGCCAGGTGACTGGCCTTATGCATGCGGCCGTAATCAACGACGATGATTATATGGACGTCGGAAGTCCCGCACATGGTTGATACCCCCTTCTTTTTCCCTTTTTGTTAGCCGTCATTTTTGCAATTGTTCATCCTCATTGTGCCAGCATATTGGTCCATCCATCCCAGATAATATCACAGAGCGAGCTCTGCTGATAGTTTAGGAGATTTTCTTCTTTCCTCTTGTGTCTTTTTTTGCATTGACAGCGGCTATTGTGATTACTGTATTTTCCCACTCCTGTTATTTTTGTTCTGTCTATCTGGGATTAAGCATTTAAGCATGTATATGATCTCGAATTTGTGGCCGGTGAGCATGGTTAGCAGTAGTATACAATCTTGACTATTCTAGAGGTTATTTGTGCCTGAGGAACATGGTCGATATCGTAATTACTGTACCGTATGATATCTGTCCCCGCCCGATAAGCTCCGCTCTTCCATCACATCGAGAGATCCTCAACTCTCTCAGTCATCAGTCATTGACCTTCTCAATGACTCCCAAAATATCCCGCGCCAATCCATTGGCCTTTAACCCCTGGCCTGTTACCCTCCTCACAGCAGCCATCTACCTCGCCTTCGCAATCCCCTTGCTCGTCATCCACCATGTCGTGCCCCCAGCGCCGAACCCCAGCGCCACTCCGCACGGTCTGAACTTATCGGAAGCATGGTCGGATCTGCAGTTGTTGACCAATGGGTTTCGACCATATAATTCGCACCAGAATGATTTAGTTAGGAGGTGGTTGTTAGCACGGATTGGGGAGATGACGTCAACATTTCCGGTAAATAATGGAGATGCGGATGCGGGGGGCGATGGAGAGGGAGAGGGAAGACCTGAGGTGGTCGTGTTCGATGATTTACAGTCGAATCTGACGTTCGCGGGGAGCGTGTTTGGGTCCACGGGGTTGGGTGTTTACTTTGAAGGAACGAATATCATGGTTTATATCCGGGGTTCTGAAGATGAGAAGGGTGATTTCTGGGGAGATAGTGACTATGTCTCTGACAAAGGAGGTGTGCTTGTGAACGCGCATTATGATAGTGTGTCTACTGGATATGGCGCGACGGACGATGGAGTCGGCGTTGTGACTTGTTTACAGTTACTGCGGTATTTCACGACGCCGGGGCATGCGCCGCAACATGGACTCGTGGTGCTGTTTAATAACGGCGAGGAGGATTTTCTTAACGGTGCGCGCGTGTACAGTCAACATCCGATTTCAAAGTTCACGAAGACATTCCTCAACCTCGAGGGTGCGGGTGCAGGTGGTCGCGCGACGCTGTTCCGCAGCACGGATGCGGAGATCACGCACTCGTATGCGCAGTCGGAGCATCCGTTTGGATCGATTCTCAGTGCGAATGGATTCGAAACGGGGTTGATTCGGAGCCAGACGGATTATGTGGTGTTTGAGGGGGATATGGGACTCCGTGGCCTGGATGTTGCGTTTATGGAGCCCAGAGCGAGGTATCATACCGACCAAGATGATACGAAGCATACGAGTGTAGATTCGCTGTGGCATATGCTTTCTGCGGCTGTTGCGACGACGGAGGCGCTTGTTTCTGAGGACAGTGGACCCAAATCCGGGTCCGGGTCTCGGGCTGTTTGGTTTGATATGTTCGGGAGCGCGTTTGTGGTGTTCCGATTGCATACGCTTTTCGCGCTGAGTGTGACGTTGCTTGTCGTTGCACCGCTGACGCTGCTCGCTACGAGTATTGCGCTTGTGAATGTCGATCGGATGTATCTGTTTCGATCGACGGCGCTGGGAAATGGTATTTCGCTGGGTGGTGCTCGGGGCTTCTTCCGGTTTCCGTTCCTCGTCGGTGTTCCGACGGCTGTGGCGATTGGGCTGGCGTATCTGGTTACCAAGATCAATCCTTATATCGTGCACAGCAGTCCGTACGCTGTGTGGGCTATGATTGGCTCTGCATGGATATTCCTATCGTGGTTCGTCTCGCGGGTTGCTGATTTCGCGCGGCCGTCTGCTTTCCATCGCGTGCATACGCTTACCTGGTTGTTTGTGGCTACGTGGGCGATGCTGGTTGCTGCGACTGTGTATGAGAACCAGAGAGGGTTGGCGGGGGGATACTTTATCTTCTTCTACTTTGCTGGTGTGTTCCTGGCGACTTGGATAAGCTATCTGGAGATGTTTTTCCTGCCGCGGAAAGCAGAGTACGTGAGTCGTTTTGTTGCGCCGTTGCCGCCGCAGTCGTCGTATAGCTATGGGACGAATAGTCGATTGGGCACAGCAGTTGCAGACGAGGATTACAATCACGTTGAGGAGACTGAGGGCGACGAGGTTGAAGAACCTCCTTCTGAATCGACGTCTTTACTGCGTGGTGGTCGTGGTAGCGGTGGACACGGACACGGCCACAGGACTACATTCGCAAATTACACGCGGGTAGCGTCGATCAGCCACAGTCTTTCTTCTGACGATACGAGTTATTCGGGGGTATATGGCCACGAGCAGCCATGGAGCTCTTATCTTCCGAAATGGACCTGGGTATCCCAATTCGTTCTCATCGCGCCTATCGTTCTCATGATGACAGGTCCACTAGCACTTTTACTTACGACGGCACTCCAACAAACCGGCCAAGACGGTAGTCCTGCGCTATTCATCTACATTTGCATAGCGAGCTTTACAGCCCTTCTATTCTCACCGCTGGTCCCATTCATCCACCGCTACACGCATCACATCCCCCTCTTCATGCTATCCATCTTCATCGGCACAATGATATACAATCTCGTCGCATTCCCATTCTCAGAGTCAAACCGCTTGAAACTCTTCTTCACCCAGGAAGTCGACCTAAACACCGGCGTCAACCACGCAAGTCTGACAGGCGTCATGCCTTTCGTGCATGACGTCGCCAGTGACCTTCCCAGTATCAGTGCTTCTAGCAAGGATGTTACGTGTGCTCCACTCGCGGACCGCGTGAAGTGCACCTGGCCTGGTCTCCCTCCGCACGTCACCAATACCTCCGAGTCAACTGAATACCAAGACTGGCTCTCCTACAAAATCACCCGCTCGTCCCAGAAACAATCAGTGCGAATCAGCATAACCGGCCAAAATACCCGCGCGTGCAAACTCGTTTTCGACGAAGACACCCCGGTTCCTGATTACCACGTGCACGGTTCCGCATACGACGAAGATCGCTTCCCGCATGTATCGGTTGACGAGGATGGTAATCCGCTGGGAACTAGGGAGATCCGGCTCTGGAGTCGTACTTGGGATAGGGAGTGGGTTGTTGATGTTGACCTCCCTACTTCTCCCAAGCTTGATACCAAGGAGGTGAAGGTGAAAGGGAAAGTGGTGTGTATGTGGAGCGACCAGAATGAGATCGGGAATATACCCGCGCTGGATGAGGTGAGACGGTATGCGCCTGCTTGGGTGGGAGTTAGTAAGTTGGCGGATGGGCTTGTGGAGGGGTATAAGGAATTTGAGATCCAAAATTGAGTTATCTGGTTGAGCCAGGTTACTTTCATTGGATGGATGTTTTTATGAGATATGATATGAGACGTGCATTTCGGGCTTTTTATATATCGGTTTCGATATCGCCACTGTATGTAGGGAAAAAAAAAAAAAAAAAAGCATTTATTCTTTGCACACTTTGTACGAAAATAACTGTAGGTACAGCATCCTATGCAGCAACCATTATGTATATGTAGTACTATGTAAATCACAAGCCAATGACGTATATCCAATGTTATTACTGCCAAATCAAGCCCTGAGCCTCGGCAGATGTAGTGTAACTTTCATGTTTCATAATATATATGATTCGTCCTATCCCCCGAGATGATATCATAATAAGATCAAGATAAAAGGTGAGTAGGTGGTAGTACACAAGATAATAAGGTATGGTATAAGATGAAATGACATGATCTCGTGATCTGATCATTCGTCGTTCGTATCGTGAATCGTAAGTCGTCGAATTAAACATATAACAAGGAATAGGTTATTCAGGAAGAGGCATCAAGACCGCTCACACGGCCACGCAGAACACTGTTTATCCAACGAGTCTGTAAAATCGACCGGATAGGTCATCGTGGCACTGTTGTTCGTGACGGTGCGGGTGTCGCCGCTCCATTTTGAGAACTCGGACGGGCTGGCTTCTAGGTCGTGGTCGTGGTCGTGGTCGTGGTCGTTGGCATGGTGGCAATGACGAGGGGCTTCTAGATCGTCCGGCGCGATGTCTGAATGAGAAGAGTTGAAGGCTCGGGACGGAGGTGAGTGTTCAAACATTGCGATCGATATAGCATCGTAATCCATCCCTGGCACTGAGCGACGACGTGAAGCGACGGCTGGCGGAAGCGTACTCGGTCGCCGAGTCTTAACAGTCGACGCGGTAGTAGTAACAGTCGGCGCATGCGTAAGGTCCGTCGTGACGCGAGTGGCATCGACAAAATCCGGAAGGTGACGCCCAGTCGGCGTGTGGCGATGGAATCTCGGATGGTCGTGGTGGTGCAGCACCACAGAATCAGTTTTCCAGATATGGCAGTGGACAAGACGGACTAGTTTCCCGAGTACCGCGAACTCGAGTTTTAGTTTTATGCTGTAGACCACGCCCTTTATCATTGTTTCCATGACATACAGCTCGATGTACTCGATGATGAGAAGACCTAGGTCCATGAAGATGATGATGAGGTTTATGATGATGAGCTGGTACATGACCTTGTGCTTGCTGCGGTCTGGATCGAGACGCAGCAGTTTTGTTGTTTCCCAGATGTACAGGCCGGAGATGATGAACTCTTGGATGCAGAAGCCGGTCATTTGGATTTTCTCCATGGCGTTGTAGCCGCGCATGTAGGGTCCTTGGTCTTCCTTGGGGGCGATGTTGGAGCCGTAGGTTAGGACTGTTGTGGGGATGTGTAGGATGAATACATTGACGCAAATCATGATCAGGACGCGACGGAGGACACGCTGGTTGCGCATGACCAGGTGTAGACGGGAGTAAAGGACGACAGACTGCCCGGTGACCATGCAGTACCAACCGACGGTAATCAAAGATGCAGACAGCCAAGCAGACCAAATCTCGAAGAACTTGAGCAGAAAGCCCAAGGAATAGGGCACGAGCCCGACCGACGCGGAAATTAGAAGACTCCAGAAGTAGAGTCCATGATACTCGCGAAAAGTGACAAAAACAAGAACTATTAGTTCGAGAGCATTATACCAAGCGACGGCGGCAAGAGTCGCGAGAGCGGTTTTGATCTCCCAGGGACCATTGGCGAGGCCACCCGTGATGCCCTGCCCGGGTTCAATGAAAGAGTCGTTTATCATGGCGATATTTTGGGAGTGGACAGAGAGCGATAGCACATCGTGGACAGACCAACCACAAGAGAACTAAATATCATGCTGGTGCGGAAGAGGAAGACAGTACAGCGCAGGAGAGAGGAAGACAGAGAGAGGCGACTGTGACGACCAGGATCAGCCAAGAATCACACCAACACGAAGCGAGCGAGAATGACGGGTCGTGTTGGTAAACGAACGGGGATAATTTTTCTGTTTCCGTTTCTTATTTCTTTTTCTGGCCTGACCGAAATAAACCGAGAGTCAAGACTCGAGACCCGAGAGTCGAGTGCGCCAGTCGTTTGTCTATCTTACCCGCGAGTGCCCGGATGGCGCCGGCCAAACGAGATTGAGCCTCCAGCTGGTTCCCTGCACGATAAATGACTCGTGTGCCGTATTTGGTCCTGAGGTGCTGATCACGACGGCGCCGAACCACAGCGCAAAGAACAACCAACACAGCCCGGGGCACCGGCCATTGCTGGCTTGGCTGTAGCTGCAGTACTCGTCATGGCCCATTGCCGTAACTCTATATGTATACGGGGTACTGCCAATTGACTGTGTACATATATAGATATCCCCAGCCTTGTCAAAGTGCGGAGAAAGATCGATGCTGACAATGTTGACTCAGCCTGTCACAGAATCCGGGGTACTCCTGTGCCTCATCTTACGCACGCGGTACTTGTCATCACAGATCCTCAGGCAACAATATGCATACATATTATCCGCACCCATACCCAAAATACGCCAGTACCCAGTGCCCAATAACCAAATGCCAGATGCCAACGTAGCCCATATAGACGCTACGTCTCCCTCATGACCCTCTCGACCTCTCCCCTACACTCCGGCATAGCACTCCTCATCTCCCTCGCCAGCACGTCCCGAAAACTCGCAAATGCCTCTCTCTTCCCCTTGAGATCCTGATTCCCGCGCTGTACTAGCTCGACGAATTCGCGCGTGTAGATGTCCGGGTTGCGCGCCGAGTCGACGTAGTCGATTATCTCGGGGGGAAGTTGGATGCTGCTGAGGGGGGGGTCTGGGTTTCCTTGTTGCGATCGTTGTTGGGGGTCGGAGGGTTGGGGTGGGTTGTCTTGGGTGTGTGCGGAGAGGGTCGAGAGGGCGAGGGTTAATGTTTTTCTATATTCTTAGTATTCGTATGGGGATTAGCATGAGTGTGTGGTAGGGGCGTACATCTTCCGGACGAGTTCCTGCTGCGTCTCTTGACCGAGGTAGCCATGCACAGCGGATTGGATTTCGAAGAGTTGCTGGATGATGTCCTTGAGGTCATCTGTTTTGTTAGTCTTACGTCCAACTATAAGGGGATAGCACTCACTATCGACCGTGCTTAATGTAACTGGCGCCATGTTGATGGTTGGATTGAGAATTGAGCGGTGATAAGTCTAACGGCAGTATCTGGCAGTATCTGGCGGGGAGGATGGCGGTATGTCTCATTACCATTTCAGGAATCTACAGAGTACGGAGACGAAGGCGCATTAAAAACAAATCGCTATATGCAACAAATTAGTTCAATAGTCTATAGCCATACACGGCAAATAACAAATCGCAACATAAATCCAAGTCTGGCGCTCTCGGCGTGAAAAATCGAACAAAAGATGGAAACACTGGCTAAAGTACATGCGATTACACCTCCTTGGTCCGCAGACTCGTCACTTTGGATATCTCAATCTCCGTCTCCACCATCTCTAGCCCAGAGAGGCTGGGATAGCGTCGGCTAAAATTCGTTTCCCAGTCTTCGCTTGGGGAGGTGGGTGTCTTGGCTACCGTCGGGCTGCGGTCCTGCCCGGACTGCGTTAGGTCGGAGTCGACGCGGAGACTCTTGGGTTTGGGAGGGGCTGCTGGCCGCGGTCCTGTGCGTTGTGCGCGCTGTGCGGGTGCGTATTCTGTCGAGGCGGTCGAGAGCTTGGGAATGGGGGTTTCTTTGACGGCGGGTGATGGTCCGCTTCCCGTGTAGGAGCCGTACACTGGGGCTGAATTTTGTGACAGCGGTTCCGAACGCAGTTCACTCGGCTTTGCCTGCAAAGCCGGTGGGTTCGACTGTTCCGTGAACCGGCCATATCCCGTCGCGGTCTTTTGCGGCGCGGTTTTACTGCTCTCGCCCATCAAGCTCTGCACCTTGTTCTGTATCGTGGCCGACCGGCCATCTGTTGCGGGCCGCGGGCCTCCTCCTTTTTCTGCGACCCGTCGCCGGTATTCTTCGGCTGCGCTAGCCACTCGCTTTTCCTCCTGCGAAAGGCGTCTTCGCTCGAGCTCACGGCGCATTTCCGGGGAGATATCACCATCGCCTTCTTCGTTGTCTATCTCATCGGGAGGCTCCGTCACTTCTGAGGCCGTGACTATCAAGGGCTGCTTGGGGATATCCTCAGTGGCAGGAGACTGAGGCTTTTGGTCATTTTGACCAACTTCAAACCGGCGGAACGCGTCGCCAAATCGAGATGCGAAGAGTGTCTTCGTGTTGGAGAGCGACAGATGGGAAAGACTTGACCGCTTGCTGTGATGCTTCGAGCTTCCACTGGCCCGCTTCTCGCGCTTCCGGTTCACTTCCTCCTCTTCCTTGGCTCGCAGGTAATCAATGTCGGACGTGATGTTCGCCCGGTCGTAGTCACGGTCCGTATCGGCCCGCGCTTGCGACAGCACACCTTCATACGGATTCCGAGACAGCTCAAGGGAGGACCGCGCACTCTCTGACTCCCGCGGTAGGTCGTACTTCCCAGTGTGCATAGAGACAGGACGAGGCTTGGCGTTGGCTGACTTCGACCGTGTCAGAGGATCACCGACCTCCAGGCTCGATGGTCGTGCTGTGTCCAGTGAGAGTCGCGACGAAGATGCCGTGAGCTCATTGATTCTGTCCGTGGAATTCTTTGGCGGAGGCTCTGGCTTGTTAGGCGGAAGCCGTGGGGGCGACGGGCTCTTGCCTCGCCCAGACAGTTGGCGCTGATGATCCGAAGATGGGAAGCGGAAGATAGGACGGCTCGACTTCTTTTCGAGCAAGTCCGGTGTAGGAGCCGGCGAGGTCATTGTACCAGTTGACACCATTGTAGGTTTTTGGGGAACCGGTTGGTAAAGCGGTGTTTGCTGTCGGCTGGTAGGCGTAGCAGGAAGCTCCTTTCGCTGGTAGGCAGATTTCTCGGACGGTCGGGTTTGCTCCACCGACGAAGGAACTTGGGGACGCCTATTGACCACTTGCTCGCGGACCGGTTCCTTATCACGCTTAGCAAAAGCATCATCGGCCAGCGCATTGGTGAGCTTCTGCGACAGATGTTCCTCCGAGTTTGCGGTTGTAGGCTCAAACTCAAATTTTCCTCCTTTTTCATGCAGGATATCGAACTGGTCCAAAGTCGGGAATCGGTTCGAAAGTTCATCAGCTGGACCCCGGGATTTGCTTCCAGCTCGGTCCAAGACCGCAAAAGGATCTGCAGAGTCGCGGTAAGGGGAAGGGCTCGGTTTGGCAGAGCTTTGCTGGGAAGTCGCGTTTGTTGGACGACCTCGCCGCATTGGGGCAATATCCGGGATGCTGATCGGTGTCTCTTGAACCGGTGGGGAGAAGACTGCACCGACTCGCGGTGGCTCTGTTGGCGAGGGTGGTAGTTCCTGGTACCGGCGAGCTTCCGACTGGGAACGACCAGAATAGATCTGACAGAGTTAGACTAAGCGTTATTTAAAATGCAATCAAAGAGTACTCACGTCTTTGATGGGAACTTCTTTGCCTTGCATGAGGCATACTTCCCGTACGACCTCGTAGATGTTGGGACGCTTCTGGGGGTTCTCCTTCAACATGGAAGCTAGTCAAGTTAGCACACATCCATCACTCATGAATTCTCCAAACACCTACCGATGAACATCTTCAGGCGATCCGAAAATTGCGGGTAGCTAGGAAACTTGTAGCTAGCGTTGAGAATGGCCATCTGACCCACTTCTTCAAAAGGAGTGGTATAGTAGCACAGCTTGTAAAGAAGGACACCCAGTGCCCAGATATCACTCTTCTCGTCAATCGGTTGCTTCCGGTAGACATCGATCATCTCCGGACTCCGATATTGTAGCGTAGTATGCCGTTGAACGTCATCCTCGATCAATCGGCCCTCTGCGGCTGAGGTAGCCGCGGGGCGAGGCGGCGCGGTCGATCCAAAATCACACAGCTTGTAAAAAGAAACACCACCGCGGCGCGAAATGAGGACGTTCTCAACCTTGAGATCCCTGTGCAACAGAGGAGGTTTGAGATAGTGCATGCACGCCACACCTTCCGCCACGTCGGAGAAGATCTTGATGATCTCGGGCTCTGTCAGCCGATTCTGTAGTCGCGTGTTCATGAAGTCAATGAGACCCCCTCCAGAGCAGAACTCCATGAGAAGAAAGACCTCATAACCGCCTCCGCGCAGCTGAGACGCATGGGAGTCTATGTACTTGACAATGTACCGGTGACCCTTGAGCTTTTTCATTGTCTCGACCTCCGTCCGCATATTGGCTAGCGCGGCCTTGTCCGGAACAGCCACCCGCTTCAATACAGCAGATTCAGTGCCATCGATGGGAACGGGGAGTCGCACGACGTAGACGTGGGCGAAACCGCCTTCTGAGAGGTATTTCTCCACCACAACGCGATGACTGCCGACCTGAACCTTGGTCCCGGGTAGGAATGTCCCCGCAGGTGCGGAGATGGCTGCTATGGGGTTGTATGCGGGCATGGGCCGGTGTGAAGCCGGATAGGCTTGAGTGTAAGACATGTTGGGGTCCGTATGAGCCCCTCGAGGGGAGAGTCGTGGATGTTATCGGGAGGAGGGGGGCTAGAATTGTTCGGACTATCGTCGCCGCATAGAGGAGGAACCGGCTCGTGAAGGATAAGTCGGAAAGAGGAGGGGGAAAGGAGGAAAAGTCAAGCTGGCCTTCGGGGAGGTGAAATAGGCGGAAGTCGAACGTGGTTGAATCGTCGGGGGGTAATACCTGTTCCACACCCAGGGGGGAAGAAGAAGGGACGCAGGAACAGGAACAAGAAAGAATAAGAAAATAGAAGGGAAACAAGTAGTCAATCGATCTCACTGACCAGCAGCGTGAGAAAGGTCTGAAAAGGGAGATGGTTGTTGAAGAGAGAATAGGAATACGGAGTAGTCCCGTAGAGCCTCCGTGTGAACTCGGCCAATTAAGAGTGTCGATCTTGTCGGGCGGCGCTCTTGCAATTCCCCGACCGCCACTCCGGATGGACAGATTACAAGAGCAGTAAACGTACTCTGTACAGAGTAGATGTACTCCGTTCTATGTAGGTACCGAGTACAGAAGGAAAGATACGCTGACATTGCAGCTGCAGCATCTCACATTCCTGCGTTGTCCATTCCGGGGTTCTCGTGACCCCAACAGTCAACTGCCGTTGAGGAACTATTGGTGCGAGGTTCAGTGCACAAACTATGTCACCTATTCCTGTTCATTTGAATTAATAGGGACACTTGGATCCTTAGAAGCTATGTTACATGTACTCCCTACGAACTATAGTATGGACTTCCTAATCGGGTAACCGAAGTATGCAATATATGTAGAAAGGGAAAGAGGAAGCATTCCGGTCAATAACACCATCGAAAATCCACACTCGCAGGTCCTTCTCGTAACATCTCTGTTGGGATATCCTGTGCCTTAACACTAACCCCCTGTCTCCTATCTCTCCGTTTATTATCAAACATCATCCATACTCCCAATGCGAAAGTCAAACACAATCCAGTTCCCCCAAAGGCAGCGGTTGTGATTAAGGCAGGCAGGTACTTTGGTGCATCTTGATTGCGGAATATATTCGAGCTGACAACACCCATCAGGTTTGCCATTGGGACGGCGATACTGGTCAGGAGCATTCGACGGCTTTCGTTGGCAATGTTGTTGTTGTACCATGTATCGAGCAGGACGGACGGTGCGGATGTGCCCCTTTTCTCGTTAGTAATTTGTATGATAAGAAGAAAAGTATGTTACCATGTCATGATGAAAGATGCAAAATAAGCAACAGCAAGGTCAGCCTCTACATCGATGGCAGAGTAAATGACGAAGCCGATAAAAGTGAAGAGAAAGCCCAACGCGATGAATGGAAACCTCCACCTCGTCCAGTCACTGCAAAAGGCTAGAATTAATAGTACAACAGCACCAGAAACATTCGGTGCAACGGTATACAAATTCGTCTTGACAGTCCCATATCCCAGCCGTGAGATAATCTCCGGTAGAAAGAGCTGAACCGATTGCAATGGGACACCAAGACAAATCTGAATGGCCAAGATAGCCCAGCTAGTTGGCTGTTTGAATACTCGCAGAGCGTCTCGGATGTTGAATTCCTCATTCACAACAGAGGAACTGTCAAGTTGTAGACGGAGATATGCAAGTTCCTTTTCCTCGGGAGAGAGAAATTTGGCTTCAGAGGCTGATTTTGGTAAATACCATATTGCGAGTAATGCACAGAGAACTGTACCTCCTCCTTCAATGAGGAATAAGTACCGCCATGCTGCCAGCGATCCGGTTTTGATTTGAAATACCCCAAAAGCAAGAAGGCCTGAAAATGCAGAAGCGATGCTTTGCGCGGCATAAAATATGGCAAGACGACGCGCGAGTTCTCCACGACGGTAAAATCTATACCGTCAGTTGTTGCCATAGTAGCCATGTGTGAAAGAAAGGAGGGACAGACATACGTTGTTTGATAGTAAATAACCAGGGGAAAGAACGCACTTTCAGCCATACCCAGAAACCATCTTATAGCAAGAAGACCACTGAAATTGAAGACTGCAACCACCAGAATGGTACATAGGCCGAATGTAAACATCATACTTGGAAGTATGATGTTGGGACCGTATTTCTTCCCCAGGATACCGAGAAATGGGGAAGTTAGAACATATGGAATAAAGAAGATACTAAGTATCATGTTATACTGGTTGTTTTTCAAGTTGAGGGTATCTATCAAGTTTAGCATAATCCTCTATGTAATGTATGCAAATGAATTGGATACCTTCTAGTCCTGCAGTCTTTGAATTTCCAAGATTTGACTTGTCTAGACTGTTAAACAAATACATCACAGCCAACACGGGCAGGATGCGCAAGTCGAATTTCCATACTAACTTGCTTTCAGCGCGGGGATCAACTGTGTTGCTGATACATTGATCATTGTCTTTCGAGACATCTTGTCTTATTTCAGCAGGCATCGGTTTGTCGGCCATTGTGCTATGTAGTAGTGGATGGTGTGAACATGCTTCTATATACATCTTGCATAGGCTAAATATATAAGGCCCTAATTACATGACTATGTTCCTGGATTTCCGATAAAACACTATCTTGATAGTAAGAGAGATAAGCTATGTGTCATTCGTGAGTCTGCCCGGAGAATAAACTTTAGATAAGAATATAATATTAACTAAAGTTAACGGCCTGAAAGTCTTGTATAGTTAGTTAATCAATATAAAAAGTGAGCCTTATCTATGCCAAGATTGGCCCCCCGCTTCGTGAATCTATGGCCTGATACAGTGAGTAAAGATTGTAGTAAACATTGATAGGGAACATAGAGAAAACATCTAATTCCTGTATATTAAGATGTAGTTGTGACTGCTACTTAGCATTGTTGGGGTTGGTCTCAACTTGTAGCTGAGACGGTTGTTTAGTCTACATACGCCTAAGCAGCGTCACAGAGGAGTCTTCTTCAAAATCAAGATATATGCACATAGAAGTAAAGGGATAGAAAAAAAAAAAAAAAAAAAAAAAAAAAAAAAAAAAAAAAAAAAAAAAAAAAAAAAAAAAAAAAAGAAAAGAAAAGAGAGAGATAAAATGCTGTAAATTGATGTATTTTTTATTATTTGCCTGGTTAGCGGAAGATATGGTGAGGACGGCTGCATTATGACCAAATACATGTCCAGCACACTACACAAATCCATAGCGATGCCCAGCACTTTGATATCTTTATATTTCTCAGTAACACTAAGGTTTTCCCCAGCAAATTTACTTTTCGAAATTGCCATTGACTCATTGTTACGTATCGTCCACTTTGATCATTATTCGACTCGGTTATCGATCAGCCCTAACCTCCGCATCTCCAAATACACCCCACTTCAGCAACGAACATGGTCCGCAATTATAGTAGAAGTGGTTTTTAGCTCGCGAATCACCAGAGTCATAGATTGGTATGGGGTACTTACAAAAAGGATGGTATTCACGACTCCGCCGCCACTACGGATTGTCGTGAGTACTTGTCAGTACTGCTGACTGTAGCAGTTATTCAAGACGATGATAAAGCCATAATTCGTACGATAAGGTATGTATATCCTAATAATGCTTAGTGGCCGTAGTGATACGCCGGTTGTATTGGGTAACTCACGTTCTGATACCGTGTATGCCCTGATAGTCGTGACTTCCCAATCAGGTAACCGTGACCATGAGCTCGTAATTCCGTTGTTAAGCTCTGAGACCTGCTCCAAGAATGAAGTGGTCAAGAGTTATGATGCTCAGCTCCAACTGGCCCTTTTCCCTTTTTAGTACCCCGGAAAGGCCCATGGGAGATGGGAATCCATCAGCAAGGCAAGTGATTCTACTATATACAACCCTGGCCAGTGACGAGGTTTTATGTTGAGGTGATGCTCAGCCTGGCTGACTTTTTGCTATTCAGGATACCCAATGCGACGAGCGCTCGCACACACCGAGACCCTCACTGGTTGTAGTTATATGTCAGACGAGGTTAGTTGGTTGGTAGATCAGTCGTGGCGACGAGATAGAAGAGAAAATTCCCACGGAAGTAGGAGTCATGATAAAAACAGGAGATTCCTCGCTACCTAATTGACTCAAATGTACGTACAAGGGTAGGGCTCTGTGCTCACTACTTCGCAGTAGACTTATAAATTTGTAGCGAGAGATTACATAAACACTGGCCGAGCTAGCTCAATTGGTCAGAGCGTCAGACTTTTATGAATCGGAATTGCGATCACAGAAATCTGAAAGTTGCGGGTTCGAGTCCCGCGTTTGGCTTTTTCATTAGACAGTTTATTTTTGCTTTTTACAGAGACAAAATAGAATGTACTTTTACATACTACTATTGAAACGGACACATAAATTTCCCGTTCCGGATAACAGGATTGGGTGTGATAGGAGCGCAGGACGTGATTGTATAGACCCACACCGTTGGCGCAACGACCGGAAGAAAGAAAATCAAAACAAACACTTATAGTACCGGTACAAAATGATACAGAATTCTTTTCAAGTATTCAACTTTTAAACAGCACCAGAGATGCTAATAGTAAGGGTACAGCCGGTATGTTATCAGATGGCGCATTCCAGCGATCTGGATCTCAGGAATCCACATTCCTTCCATTTCGTTTCCGATTCAGGCGGGTCCTACCAGGGGTATATGACTCGACTCCATAATACGTGTGCTATGATGTGGAGGATCGTACCGTGCATAATACTTGTAGTAGTACTACTTGTAGACCCGAGACTCGGAGTAATAAACAAAGGAGCGTTGAGACATGCTTACTCTCGTTTCTTTTTCCGTTATTTCCGATGCATGATACTCCGTACATACTGAAAAATACTAGTGTAGAGATTGTTTGCGGCTGGCGTGATAAATGTGATGATCTGCCTCAACTCAACTTTCTTAGCCGCCGCTTTTCTTCGTCACTTCATCACACCTCTCGCTTTGCATCTCTACAAGTACAAGTACGAATTGGTTCTTCAGTACTGACTCAGTCGTTATTCTTTGTTTGTGGTGGTATTGCGATCTAACCTTGTTGATCCTTTAGCCCGATTGAAGCGCTGAGAACTCTCAGTGCCTTTTCGATGTTGCTGTGAACATGAGATCGTTCCCCTCGTTTTGTACTTGAGTCCTGCCTTTGCGACGATAGATAGCACCTGCCCCCGATTACACTTCCCGCCAAACCAAAATGAACGGCTCTAACTCCCCCCCCCCTCACGACAAGAACTCGAAACCAAACTCCAACAGCGAAGACACCAAAACATCCGACCTCCCCGACGGCAACTACGACATCTTTGTCATCCCCCCACACTCTGCCGGCTCCGGATTCCTATATCTCCCGTCTCTACAATGCCAACGGAATAGCTTTCTCGCCGGGTCCGCAAGTACACTCTTGTTCGTGTTTCTGTGGTCGAATATTGCACCGGTTGTGCGGGGGTGGTATGTTCTTACGGCTACGGGTGGTGGGATTGGGAGTTTGGGGAGTGCGATTGGGCTTCTTCTAGGGGTGGTTGTTGTTGGTGTGGTAGGATGGGTTGTTGGGTCGTTGCAAGCGGGTGGTACGGGTACGTGGCGGGAGAGGTGGAGACGGGAGAAGTCTGGTGGAAATGGGTCGGGTGAGTCTGGGGATGGCGATGCCCGTACCAAGGATCAGTCTGCGAGAGGTGCAAGCGATCCCAAAGGTTCTGAGTCTGGCGGCCAACAAGAGCAGCGCCAACGACAAGACGGCGGCGGAAAGACCGGTAAAAGCTCAAACAACGGTAAACAGCATAGTGCTGGTGATGCAAACTCCGAATCGACCCCAAATGACAATGATGGAGGATCAGAATATGCCGAATGGGGGAAAGCCCGCGACCAGGAACGTGAGAAAGGCAGAGAAAAGCAGCGATTTGAAGAGGAAAAGCGCCAATATGAGGAAGAACAGCGTCGCGAGCAACTAAAGCGCGAGAAGCAACGTAAAGAAGAGCTCCGGCATGAGAAGGAGAAAAAGGAACAGGAAAAACGTCGCCGCGAGGAAGAGGAGCGACGTCGTCATGACGAGCAGAAACAACATGAAAAAGAGAAAAAGGAACAAGAGCAACGGCGTCGTGATGAACAGAACCGGAAGGAAGAAGCCCGTGAAGAAGCAAGACGCAGAGAGCAACTCCGCCAGATTCAAGAAGAGGCTCGCCGTCGTGAGCAAAAGCAGCAGCAGGAACAGGAGCAGCGTCGCCGTGAGGAAGAGAAGCGGAAGGAGGAGGCTCGACAGGAGTCAAGACGGAGGGAGGAACTTCATAAGCGTGGAGAAGACGCTCGCCGCCGCGAGGAAGAAGAGCGCAAAGAGAAACTTCGACGTGAGGAGGAACAGAAAGATAGTCAGCGTCGTCGTGAAGAGGATAGCCGAAGAGAAGAACAGCGCCTTCGCGAGGAAAAAAGACAAAAAGAAGAGAAGATGAAGGAGGAGATCCGCCGACGTGAAGAAGAGAAACGTAAGGAAGAAATTCGTCGTCGCCAAGAGGAATGGCGCAAAGAAGCACTTCGGCGGAAAGAAGAGAGACAGAAGGAAGAAGCACGCCGCGAGGAGGAAAAACGGCAAGAAGAGCTCCGACGCGAAGAGGAAAGAAAACAAGAAGGACTCCGCCGCGAGGAAGAAAGGAAGAAAGAAGAAGCCCGGCTGGAGGCGGAACGGCGCAGAGAGGAGATCCGGCGGAAGATGGAAGATTATAAGCGACAAAAAGAGGAAGCAGCACGCGAGAAGCAGAGGCAACAAGAGCATGAGGCCAAGGAAAAAGAGCTCAGAGAACGAAAAGAGCAATTCGAGAAGGAAATGGCCGCAGCTCGGGAGGCCGCTGCTAAGGAGGCACGAGAGCGCGCCGAGCGAGAAGCTGCCGAAGCTCGAGCCCGCTTTGAACGAGAATCTGCGGAGGCAAAGGCAAAAGCGGAGAAAGAAGCCGCTGAAATACGAGAACGAGAAGAGAAAGCTGCTGTCGCTGCCAAAGCCAAGGCTGAAAGGGAAGCTGCTGAAAAGGAGGCCGCCGCAAGAGCAGCAGCGAAGAAAGAGGCTGATGCCAAGTTCGCGGCCCTCAAGGAAGCGGCCGCTAAGAAGTACGCAGAAAAAAAGGCCAAAGATGCTGCAGAGAAGAAAGCCAAAGAAGAGGCTGCAGCAAAGGAGGCCGCCGCTAAGGAAGCTGCAGCCAAAGAAGAAGAAGCGGCAAAGAAAGAAGCAGCATCCAAAGCCAGTGCTTCATATTCCGACACGGCGCCACCGCAACCTCCTCCCCACCGCACCCCATTACCAAAGAAGCCGGGCGAAGAAGATAATCCATACGAACGAGCCCGGCGGCCTTATCAAGGGGGTGCTACTGGATCCACTGCTTCTGAATCCTCATATACTCCATCGCACTCAACGGCCAGGACTTCTCCCCCACCATCGAACCGAGGCGGTTACTCCCGTGGTGGCTACTCTACGAAAGATCCAGACAAGATTGTCATCTCTGGGGTGTTCGCTTTTAACAACAATTTTGTCGACATTCCAGTGGCCCAACTAGTTTCCGGTCAAGGAACCGTGTCAGACGGCCTGGTTCTTAAAATCACCACAGAAGGGCTGTTCATCGACGACGACATCCGAGGTGTTCCCCAACGAGAATGGGACGCCAAAGCATGGACCATGAAGTCCGTTGAGGTGTGGTGTTCTCAATACGCAGCATCTCCCCAAGCTCGCCAGAACCCCACGAAATCATCCAATCCCTTCCGCACTGGCTCTACATTGCCTCCGACACCTGAAGAGTCGGATGCGTATCTTATGGATATGTTACGGGTGTGCAAGAATACCTGCCGTGTTGGCACTCGCAGTAGCAACGACGATGATACTCTGAACTTCGCGAAGCGTGGGCATCACATGCTCCGGGCGAGATTCCGCGAGCAGGATGGCAAGAATTACGTCTTTGTTTTTGACGAAAGCGAGGGGTGGAAGGTTGCTATTGGACTGCAGCGTCTGAGACGGGGAACGCAGACTCGGTCGTTGGGTGTACTCAATATGACTGTAACTGATTGTCAGTCGGTCATGGAGAATCTGGGATATGCCTGAGTTGGACTACATTGAGATGTTTGCTTTTTGTTTAATATAGTCCCGATTTTCTTCTGTTTGTTTATGCCGTTTTATGCCTGTTTCTTCAGTTCAGCACATTCGTTTCCGATACCAGAGATTCCCCCTGATGTTGATATGATTATTTATTCGGGTATGGCCCCCACAATTATTTCCCACAATTATGTATTATCTTACACTCTCTACTGTATATATCCATACTCATAATTTACCACACCACCATTTCTGCCTGACTGCCTGATGACGTAAATCATCACCAACACGTCGCCCAAAACAACCCAACTCCCAAATATTCTCACCAGCCATACTCCTCATGATTTGCACAGCCAGCAGCCGGAGGGATAATGCATCTTCTTGTAAGTTGGCCCCCTTACATTCGATACGCGTTCCTGCCCTGACCCGAAAATCAATGCCAATGGAACCTGAACCTTGGTACGTGCCGATGGACTAACGATTCGTGGGAAGTTACGAGTTGTACCTTAGATGAACATGACCCGCTATGGCTGCGAATCGAGGCTATATCAACGGAGATAAGTGCGAAGACGAATACGGTGCCGTTTCAGAGGCAGGGTCCTCGAACGAATGAATTTGAACACGAGTTCTCGGTTTTCGAACCGGAACCGGAACCTTATGGAGTGTTGCCTGGGATCGAAGGGGTGCTTTTCGCGGCGATCGAGGGACTGAAAACAGAAGTGTTACAAGGGCAACAAGATGAGGGAGATACACCCGGTATCGAAGAAGGACAATGTCAACAAGAGGACTCGCGACGAGTACGTTTCTGAAAGCCTGCACAAGCCATTGTTATGCTAACGGGTAGCTTTTATAATTGAAAAGGTCTGTGAAGATGCTCCAATTGAGGCTAGAAGGGCAATACATGATACCCGCGATTTGAGGAATGTCGATGACGCCGCTGGAGATGCCCACACGGAGGACGACCCGGAACGACATGATGACGAAATGAATGTCCCAAATGCAGCGGACAAGGACGGAGAAGTGTCGAGTGAGACTGCACGAGATAATGAGGATGAATCGGATACCAGCGACGGTACGCACGCCATCGCGATTCCTGAGCAACAAACCAAGTCTATGGAGGTTTCACCGCAAGAGCGAGAAATCATCATCGACACAACAGATGTCCCGATTGAAGCGGACAATGAGAGAAAGGCATCGAGTGAAGCTGCACGAGACGAGAAGAAAGATTTGGATATTAACGACGATGAGCCTGCGATCGCAGCCCCGACACGGCAGAGTGAGCCCATCGAGGCTTCACCCCAGAAGCGAGAAATCATCGTCGATAACGGCCATGACTCTATAACAGGCAGATATCCCTTATTTGAGCTACTTACTTTATCAACGACTTCCGGTGCTATTAACGTGGCTGTTGTACCGCAGCCGGCTGACCCTATAAACCCCGATGAACCGGCTAGATTGCGGATTCGGTCACAGTCCGGGAGTATCGCTGTCTCTTTTACTGCACCAGCGGTAGCATCTATACCAGAGTTGGAAAATCAGATGGTTGGATGTGCAGAATATGGAAACGGGAAGTACCAGAACCCACATACTCTTCCCCTTCGTCCGTACGAGATCGAAATCGAGACCGATAGTGGCACCATCTCTGGACGCTTCATCGTCTCTACATCTGTGCACCTCTCCACCAAGAGCGGAAGTATCAACGCAAACCTCATCCCGATCGCATCCGACCTTGAGCAAAGTATATCCATCTTCACTCAGACAACATCCGGGAGCCAGCATATTCACCTTACGAATCCCGTCTACCTGTACAGCTCCCAACGAGATGGATCAAGGTCGAGTGCAACCCGAGCGCCCGCAGCTCATTTCAGTCACGGTGGAGGCAGTATGCAGATTAGGTATCCGTCTGATTGGGTCGGGATTGTACGTGCACCGCCGGGGTCTGGGAGTACTAATCTGGTTGGACAGGGAATGAACGTTGTTCGGAGAGAAGATGGGTCTGTAGAAGGATGCAAAAGCGGTGATGGGAGAGGAGATTGGTGGGGAGCGTCGGGTATGGATGTTTCTCTGGGGTCAAGGGGGGCTGCGATGTTTCTTGTTGGGTGAGCTCAATTGGCCTGTTCACTCCAGAAAAGAATAATTTGAACAGTATATAAATCACCAGCTATAGCTACCCTGTGTCCGTCACTACAACAAGAAACCTATACAAGCCAGAACCCCAGAGAGAACCTCATTCTCAATACTTTTCAAAGATATTTAGGAATTCATTTTCCATGATAACACAACCCTTATTTACATCAGCATCCCTTCTCCATAACCTTTGAAAAATGCACCGTCATCGACCCATATACCAACGCCCCATTATTGCTGTACGAGACCGTAACCCCCTGAGCCAACGACACTACATCCGCTTCATCTCAATCCCACTGCCGCACAGTCCCAGTCGGCGTATCTATGCTCTAAGCCAGTGTGACAGCAACGTTAGCAGAAGACCCCTTAGCAGTGAGCCAGTGGTCCGCACTGAGACCAAGCAGTTTCGCGGATTCTGCTCAACCAATCTCCAACACCAACGTAGATATGTTACCCTGACCACAAGAAATATCTGGACGCTTAGAAAGACCCCCATCATCAAAACAACAGGCCGTAGCCCCTAACACCCCAACCTCCTCACCGACCTGTCTCTCTTCTATACACCGCACCAAAACATCCGTAGCAAAACCACTCGCAACCCCATGCTTAGGAGACGCAACAATTTTAACAAGTAATGTCTCCGTAGGTTCATAATACTCCCAGCGAGTCAGTTTCATAGTATAAACAATACTATTCTAGAATTCCTCGAACTGCTCGCCTGGCATGTTGGTGAAGGCGAGGAACTGGTCTGTGGTGGTATCGTTGGTGAGGACATTTTCGAGGGCTTAGATTTTGCGGTAGATATTTTGGATGGATCTGTAAGTTTCGGTGGGGGTTGAGGGGGGCGGAGAGGTATTGAGGTTTATTGGGGAGTGTATTATTGATTTTTGGAAGGTTAAAGAGGATATCCTTTTGTGAAATGGTGCTTTGAGGGATTAGCAGCGGTTGGTTGCGGTGAAAGTGTGGTTGTAGTAAGGTATAAGCTTAAGGTCAGGATTGACTCACTATATTACAAAAGACGTCAAATTGTGTATTACATAGTTCTAGAAGCAAATTAGTATCACTTCAAACAAAAACAAAGCAAAATGTTGTCCTAGGCCCGTTCAACTAATCAACAAATATGCCATGAAAAGCGCAGCCTTGACAAGTCATCAATACTCTAGCAGCTATGAATTTGTTGCTTATTCCATAAGCTAGCTGGTTAAAAACTTTGCAAGTACTCTGTAACGCTGTACCTCTTCACAGATTAGGGCATATCTATCTTGACGTGACATTTGATTATGGCGGTAGATCAACATAATTCATGGAGACCTACCCGGACCAAATGCCTCATTCAGCCCTTGTCAAATTCTGACTTCAGCCCGAGAGAGCAGAGAGCCTCGATAGCACTGTCAACCCGCATGATCCGCAATTTTGAACATGTTTCAAAGTCATACAATGCAGAGGCTGCTGCACCCACATCAATTACCGGTGTCAACGAGTACAGTTCCCTCATATCAGGCTTTTGCAATGCCATTATCCAAGGCACTGTGACGGCCTGGTCACGTTGGCTGGCCATACATGAAATGTAGTTTTTTGTTTTGTTGATAACTACGGCGTTATCTCCTTCCTTCCTCATGTCAATTATTCTCGTCGATAGCTACTTAGCTAGAACCTAGGAAAAGGATGTTCCATTATCCTAGCTAAGTTCCGTGGCACACACAATCACCAGATGACAGGAACATAGAACCACGATAATCTGCTTCTGCACTTTTCAGCTGCATGAATGTTCAGACATCGAATACAAACAAGAATATCACAATAAATAAGCTGTTCAAAAGGCAGAAATGTTCTGATGGCACTGGCGCGGTCCAAGCGGATCTTAGTACAAGGACATGCGGGAGTAGGCAAAACAACTTTGTGCAAGAATATCATCCATGTCTTTCTGCATGCTCAGCTATGGACAAAATGCTTTGACCGCATCCTCTGAATACCTCTGCGTAGTCTCAAAAGGGCAAGAATTTCGGATGAGCTGCTTCATGATGGATATTTCGCGTTGCAAGGAGAAAGAGGTTGTCTAGTTTCAGTATCATTTACAGCTTCCGTACAGCGGCCACACAAGACGTGTATCATGAAGAGACCCTGACTATCTGGATGAATGGTTGCTTTATAAATAATAACGGCCTAATAGGAGAATACTGTCTCCATCCACCAACTCGGCGTTTAATTTATTTCTGATGTCGACAGCATATATGTATGTTCGGAGGTGTACTATGCTATGCCAACATGTTATTTAAAATGGAAAATCGCCACAGCCCGCAATCCTTTATAAAATATTAAACCTCCAGCTTCTCTTTTCCATAAAGTGCGCGCTGAAGAAAGAAACAGAGGTGCTACACCTTCGTTAAACCTTTGACTCTTTGGCCAATGAGGAGAATGGCATGAGAAAACTCACCCAGTCGGCATTCTTGTCCTTTCTCAATGCCACCGGCTTCCTTCCACCACCTCTAAGAGACGGGGGTGCGCTCATATACCGCAGTCTTCTATACCTATCCCTATTCCAACTCAGTCCGATCCAGGACGCCTTTCGCAGAAATAACACCCGATCCGGTCATGAACTGGACGAAGGCAAATTAGTCATTGGGCAGAAGGGGAGTGGTATCTCAATAGTGCTGCAGCAGGACTTGAAGAAGGCGATTGTGTTTCACGGTATCTCTGGACAGCATGAACCAATGTATCTTGCTACTGCCTGGAGAGGGGACTGGAGAGTCGAGATCGAGGTAGAAGATATTGAAGTGTGGACTGAGCAACAACCTGAGCGTGACAATGAAGACAAAGAGGAATGATTACACTGTGCCGTCTATGGGTTGTTTTTTCTCTACTAGCCTAGGATATAAACAGATAAAAACATTTCCCACTCCGGATAAAAACCAAGAAGAATGTCCCAGTACTTTTCCAACACGCCATGGCTGATTTCCAGCTACTCAAGTTTGATCAAATCCTAGTTTAGAAAAACGTCGAGCCAGCTGTTGCCCAAATGAAGATGACGCTTTTAGCTCGCCTCGCATTGATTGGGTCCACATACTGCCAACCATTTCTTCTCTGCTGGCTGCAGTAGACTATCTGGACCGTGCCTAGGCCCCCGTGCTATTGGATAAGTGACCATAGTCCTACTTTCTCGATTGCAGTGATGATTCGATCATTGGCCACAGAACCCCCGGGGGAAGAAAGGTTCCTGTGGGATGGCTACCAAGCATAATCGCACTATTTACCGTGGAATTGTGAGAAGATCGATGTTGCCCACGTAAATACCACCGCCGCGTAGCTCTATCATACGGAAGAGAGCGGATAGTAGTGAGGGCTTTCCACTTCCAGTTACGTGTCCTTGTTAAATCCTAAAGTGGCTTGCTCACGGCGATAACAAGACAAATGAGGCCTCTTGCGACTATCAGACAATGACCGACGTTCTGGGAACGATTGTCCTAGACAGTAACATAGATACTCTTTATCTATCACACGGCCAATCATTCAACTCAATGAGAAGTAGCCAAGCATAGACACTAGATATAGGGACTCGCTATATATTTTTGGCTATTTATGTAATATATTCCACTTTCACGGCAATATTTTTTTTTTTTTTTTTTTTTTTTCGAATAGAACATGGACTTGATTTCCCAGCGGAAGACTGGAAGCCTTGTTTTCCACACCCTATGGTCGTATGTACTTTTACTCGGAAGAGATACATATACATGAATGGGTCGAAGCGCTGCGATTGGACTTAAAAATGATTCAAAAGCTCGTATTAATTAGATCGGTTACAAGAGCCGGGGCCAAAGAGAAGACGGCGGAGACAGGACTGAGTTCATGCGGCTCAACTAGTGCGATATTGTCAACTACTACGCTCGGGAAGATGTCATAGGCACTATTCAGAATGGATAGAGGAAGAACTCTGGTTCTAGATATTTATCTATTGTGCGACCTTTTTATACACAATCTGGCGGCCGTCAACTAAGCGCAAAAAGGGAAGGTCATTGTGAAAAAGTTCAAAAGACAAAAGGAGTACAAAAGGCATAACGCATGTATGTGGTGGTCATTGCCACAGGATGCTGACTGCATAGCCGTAGTCCTCGGTCTTATCATCGTAGTTGTATCTGTCCATGCATATGCTCGGGCAGTCATAAGTCGTACGTCGTAGCTAGGCAGAATTGTCCGGCTTTAACTAGTCAGTGGGAGCAGCGGGCATCATCAATCATTCGGCATATATGGAAGTCAACAGATATCGACTGTCTCGGGTCTTCACTTTCCACCAACAACTCACTTCCTAAATCATTCTATCATCATCAACCCAAGGTCCATCATGTCTTCTCTATCTGATTTCGAGAGTAACGATACCGTCTTGGTTGGCTCGGGAGATATTCGCGACTTCAATTCAGACAACATCCTTCCACTGCCAACTGCAGACCTGGATGAGATCAGACAATGGCTCCAGCCAACTCCGTATGATCTGGAACGAAGTGAATATTCCAGACATCGCGCATCTCATCCAGTGGGGACGGGCGAATGGCTCACTTCCACGAAAACGTATCAGCAGTGGCACTCCGGCGAGAATGGACTCCTATGGATCAAAGGCATCCCCGGCTCGGGGAAGTCCGTCATGACTGCTTCGATTATCGACCAACTGCGCAAGGAAGAAGTTCCAGTCATATATTTCTTCTTCCGACAGATCATTGATGCAAACCATAAGCCTATCGCCGCGTTGCGTGACTGGCTGTGCCAGATTCTGAATTACAACCCTCCACTCCAGGTCAAACTGAAGGAGTACATTGATAACCGTCGGTCGATTGAGAGTCTCTCTCCAGGCGACCTCTGGAAAGACCTCAAGCTGGCCCTAGATTCATCTCCTAAGGTTTACTGCGTCACGGACGCCTTGGATGAGATGGATAACGGGAATGACGGGTTCCTCCATTCCTTGGTAGAGTTGGGCCAGTGGCGTCCTTCAAATATCAAAGTCTTGATCACTTCACGCCCAGTAGCCTCTTTGGAGGCTCCCTTGCGAACATTCCCCTTTCTCCAGATTCGATTGGAAGAGCGACTGGTAGATCTCGATATTGCGGCCTACGTCCAGCACAAGCTTCGGAACTCGCCTATTCCCAAAGAGCACTGGAATATCATAGAAGAGGCAATTCCCGGTCGGGCAAATGGCCTGTTTTTATATGCAAGACTTTCGATGGAAGCGTTCCTCGAACCGGGTGCTGATGTGCACGAAGTCCTCAATGCTCTGCCTACTGACCTCAACTTAATGTATAATGGATTGTTACGGGAACATGCAAAGCGCTCAAACATATCTGATGAAATCCAGCTTCTCGTCCTGCAGTTTGTTACTCATGCAACACGCCCTCTACGTCTCCTTGAGATAGCTGAAGTGATGAACACTGTACACTTTTCAAGTGGCAATAACAGCCTAAAAGAGACCAAAGAGCTGGTTAGAGCTGCTTGCGGCCCACTTCTGGAGATTCTGCCGAATGAGACGGTCTCGGTGGTTCACCATTCATTCACCGAGTTCCTCAAGGGATTCACCCGATGCAGTGACTCGGACGATTTCGCATATCCAGTTCTTCATTCTGGGTCAACGAATCAATGCCTTGCTGTCACATGCTTGAATTACCTCAGGTCTGGATGCCTCGACAACCAGACGGTCAAAAATAGAAGCGACGACGATGATTTATACCATCCTAAAAAAGCAGACCAAAGTGAACTGTGGCTGCAATTCCCATACTTAGAATACGCCGCAAAGAATTGGTATAAACACACCATGCGTGCAGCAAGTTCCGGTGCAAACATGTCCCACATCTACGATATTCTTGACACATTCTTTGTGGAAAAGCATAGATTTAATGTGTGGCTGGAAATTGCCTGGCCCACCTCGTCTATCAAAGATGTCACGCCACTTCATGTTGCTGCCCGGACTGGATTGGCTCAGTACATAGTGCACTTGCTACAAACGGAAGATATCGATATAGAGACACAGGACTGTGACCACAATACGCCTCTGTATTGGGCTGCAACTTACGGTCACACAGAAGCTGTTCAGGTTCTTCTTGACAACGGGGTCGACTCCGACGCGGAGCAAAACCAGGGCCTGAGACCGCTGCATCAAGCCGCCAGAAATAACCATGCTGAGGTTGTTGAGATATTGCTGGCTGCCGGAGTTGACCCACTTACTCCTAAGACCAGAGATACGCCGGGGAATTGGTGTGGAAATGCGCCGACATCATACGGACACACGCCACTGATGTATGCATGTCATTATGGCCAAGTTTTTACCATTCTTGAAAGATGTTGAAATCTGCCATCAAGCTCTCAGTTGGGCAGCAGAAGAAAGTCGTGCGGAAATTGTGGATTTGATCCTCCAACATTCTGGTGTGGATGTCAATGCGAAGTGGCGCAGAGCCACTGCCCTTTTCAGAGCGTGCAAAGCCGGAGACTTCAAGACAATTGACGTGTTGTTGAAAGCAGGAGCGGACCCAAACATAGCTTGCGCCGATGCTGAAGATGAGTCTGGTGGAATTTCATGGGTATTTTTCGACAAAAGGCTTCACTGTCACCAGGAGCCGAAAGGGTTTACAGCGCTACACTCCCTGTGCAAAGGCAACAGACATTCGAATCCAAGCCCGCCGGAGTGTGCGGAGGTTTTGCTCAACGCGGGCGCTGATGTCCATCTGAAGACTCCAGATGGATCGACAGCTTTGCATTATGCTTGTGAATATAGCACCAACCTGGTCAAGCCTTTGTTGGAGGCGGATGCAGATCCTACCATGGAGAATGATGCTGGAGAGACACCTCTCCACACAGATGGCAAAACAGATAATGAGCTGTTGCCCTTGCTTCTGGGAACAGGAACCGTGGATATCAACAGGCCTAGAAGTACGGATGGCAGGACACCGTTAATGTGCCGTCTCATGGGAATGTATAGTGAATCAATTGTTGCATTTTTGAAATACAAGCCCGATGTCAACGCTACTGACATTGAAGGAAATGGTGTTCTACATGTTGCTCTGAAAGGTAGGTCTATTGAAACCAGCGTGATTAACGCTCTACTGTCTGCCGGGGCCGATCCGAACCTGAAGAACAGACACGGCAATACACCATTCCATGTCATGGAATATAATGTGAATGTAGCGCTCATATGCAGGCTTTTGGATGCCGGGGCAGATATTGAGGCGCGAAATCTCGAGGGCCAAACAGCTCTTTTCACGCAATTTACCTCACCAGGGTCTTAGAGAGGGAACGCCAGAGATTTTTGAGATGCTCATCAACCAGGGCGCCCGAACTGATACTCGTGATTACAAAGGCCGAACTCTATGGCATCATGGATGCAAGAAGAGGAAGCGCCTAGACCATCTGAGAAGCCTAGGCCTTGGGCCGATCGTGACAGACTACGAAGGAAACACACCATTGCATGAAGTTGCCGCCGCGGAGTCTTATTCCAACAAGCTGGAATCTATAAAGCATTTGATGGGCTTGGGCTTGAAAATTGATCAACCAAATCACCGAGGAAGAACTGTCCTGCACTTCCTGTGCTCTGGGACCGACGATGAATCCAAATCGTCCAAGAAAGACCAGCCACTTGATTATGTTCTCGCAGTGTCCAAAAACGTGAGCCCTAGTGATATTGATGGGGTTGATCCACTACATCTTGCCAGTACAATTTCTGAAAATTTTGTTTTCAAACTTCTCAATGCTGGTGCAGATTTGTTTGCTGCCACCCATGAAGGCATGACAGTACTTCATCTCGCAGCCCGAGCACGTAAATCCGGCATTGTGGATATGATTCTATCTCGACTTGGCATACTGGAAACAAAGGACCGCATGGCGTTTGTCAATCAGAAGAACTGCAAAGGAGAAACAGCCCTACATTACGCTTGTCGCTCCGGTCGTCCTGAAACTGTCAGATCGTTTCTTGAAGCAGGTGCAGATCCTAATTTGCTAGACAATTCTCAGAACTCACCCTTCACCATGTGTGCCGATTTTGAGAATGAACAAGAGTTGTGGCGCAATGGTCAGCAGTCACAGGTTGAAGGCCTCGATGCAGCTGGTTTATTGCTTGAATATCGCACACACCCGTTGAATGATAGGAATCACGGAATTGATCGATATGGCTTCGACCAACTTAAAACAGAACACGATACAGCGCGACTGGATGAGATCATGAATTTACTTATCCAGTATGGTGCTGTAATCACTGGGGCCCGTGGTTGTCTTCAAAGGGTGTGGCGGGCGGCGATGCTGCCTCATTTTGGCTATACCATCGACTGTATTTTGCATCTGGGGAATCGTATGATTGATGAAAAGATCATCGCAAATTTGCACCGTGGCACGGGCTTCCTTATTGCTAGCTATTGTCGCAAAGCGGCAAAAGAGGCCTTGAAAGAAAGCGCCAGGCCCGGACACGGTGAGAAATGGTCCGAGAGTCGAGCTTCGTCCGCACAGCGAAGACTTCTGGAGAGTGCATTGGCCATGAGGCAGTATAATCTATTTGAAGAAATAGCCACGGATAGTGCCTGTCTCATCGTGCCCGATTACCAGGGAAGGACTGCCTTGAATGACTTGGTCTACTGGGGCTATAGTGACATATTGGCACGAGTCTGCACTCGGGAACTTGCAACTAAACTTGATGATTATGAATGGTGCAAGAAAGCGGAAGCAGCAGAAGGCCTCAGCAGCGATTTCATTTCACCGTTAATGGTATCCGCTTGCACGCGTCGACTTCCCAACATGGACGTGTTGAAGCAACTTGTCGAGGACTTTGGTGTTAGTATGGATGCCCAAAGCAGAGAGCGTGTGTATCATGGAAGTGAATATCGGGTTTTAATGACCATGGGCACTCTTCATTACCTCGCCACTGGAAAGTGCTGGTGGTATGTCGACAGAGCCCTGCCGTATTTGATACAGAAGGGTGCCAATCTCGAGCTGAGAAACCATGTTGGAGCAACACCCCTCCACATTGCATTGACATCCACAGAAGTCTTTTGCAAGCAAGCTGCCAAAATTTTCATTAAGGGCGGTGCAGATGTCAATGCCGTAGACGACGATGGCAATACATGCCTGTCAAAGGCAGGCGATGACTTGGATCTGATCAAGCTTCTCATTGCGCATGGTGCGCAAGTCAGCGCAGCAGCCATAATATCTGTGATTAAGCTTGGGCAGGTTGAAATACTGGAACTTCTGCTTTCTCAGGGCGATTATGCCAACCTCAGGCCGCCCGGACCTACAAAGCCCAAGTATGATGACTTCAGCCGTAGTGGCATTACCGATTCCGAAATGTTTCCGCTGTTTTATGCATCTAGCTATCGACACCCTAAGACCCCAAATCTTGAGGCAACGAAGGCGCGGATGATGGCAATACTTCTCAAACACGGCGCAGACCCATTTGCCACCTTTGTCAAATATACAAAACAGCCAAGGCCTCATGATAAGTCGACCGAAGAGCCAACCCCAGAATTACCAGCAAAAAGCTACACAATAATCCATAAAATCCTAAGCTCGGGAGATATATTTGAGCCATTCTTCCAGATGCCATCTCTGGACCTTGAACGTCGAGACCAAAGTGGCTGCACTCTGCTGTTAGCTGCATCCAAGAATCACAAGACATTGGGCACGAGGATCTTGCCCACTCAGGGGCAAGACACCGCTAAAACAGTCTTTCAAGAGCTTATTGACCGTGGAGCCAATATTATGGCGCAAGACGACGATGGAAAAACCATTCTCCATCTCATAGAGAATTTCAAGCCCGACGCCGATTTCGTTGAGACCCTCAGAGCTGTCATCATCAACAATCCCAGCCTCGTCCATCAAACCGATCGGGCTGGCGACAAGCCTCTCCACTACGCACTGCGTCACCGCGCCTATGATTACGTCGACCTACTTCTAGAGAATGGAGCCGATCCCGCCCAGCCAGACTCCAACGGAGACACGGCCCTTCACTATATTGCTAGTCGATTTAACAATCTTGCGTTGTTCAAGCAATTTCTAGCTGCTGGAATAGACATCAACGCCCGAAACAACCAAGGTGACACGCCACTCTTCAAGTACATCGAGGTCGGTTTTGGATCGAGCTGCCGCGGTGGAATTTTTGGCTTTGATCTCTCTTTCAAATACACGAGCGATGGAGAGTTCAATGACCCTATATTCAAATTCTTCAGTGAGGCAGGAGCTGATTTCTTTGCGCGAAACAACGCGAAGTCGTCTTTGCTTCATCTGCTAGCCGCTATCAAGGTCGGCACTAGATTCCGCAGCAAAAATGCTCGACTGGCAATTGTGGAGCGGTCCAGACATTTGATGGATTTGGGATTGGATCCTATGGCTGAGGATATAAGACAGCGAACTAGTTTGGATGTAGCTGCTGCGTGTGGGAGTGAACATATTCAGAAGTTGTTTGAGCGGAAGCCGATGGAGTAGCCCGCCGAAGGAGAGGATAGGAACATAATCACATTCGGAGTTTCTCCAGTAACATCATTATTTCCAATCCTGGATTTCGGAGCTTTAAGCATTCTGCTATTCTTAAAACAGTACTGTTTCCCACACCCTACGATCGTATGTACTAGCCTTTTGACTAAAAAGGAATATACCTAGCCAGAGTCAGATACCGATTGCACAAACTGGCAAAGGAGCGGCGATATATTGCATTGTGGACACCATACGACCGACAACAAGACATACGTCCATTCAAATCATTTTGGCTATTATCATGTAGAACGATCGACGCTGCGGCGCTGTATCTGCATTTCCGAAAAGGTCATATCCGGTGCCCGGGGCACAAAGGAGATAGCCATAGCTCTCTGCTGATGGTTCAACAGACTCACAGGGACTCGGAGGCTTTTCAGAAGCACAAGATGGGGTTTCAAACATGGATCATGGAAGGCTCGGAATCAAGCTGAACCTCATTCAATCATGTCTTGAAAAGGAGAAGCCGTAAGGCTCCGGAGAGCCTCAAGGATCAACGAAAGGCTTTCTTTGTCTTGGTGGGTCGTCTCGTGTCCTACGACAGAGGTGGACCAACGGTTCATTGGCCGGGAGGGCTACGCGACGCCCGAAATAAAGATCGCAACCCTTAGGTCAAACTAAGCCATGGTGAGGCTCGAATGAGAGTCGCGGATTCGCTGCGGCAATAATCATAGCCCCGATTGACAGTGCTTTAAAGTACCCGGACGCGTAGCAATCTCCACTGTTGCTTGCTTTATTCAATGAGACTCCCACCGGGCTTCTCGTCTAGGGGCGTTAGGCTGATTTTGGCGTTGCTTATTAGTATCATCTCACCTGCCACTTTCCCCGGGCTAACGATGCATTCTCAAAAATGCGGACGAGCAGAAGAGCTGCTCTGAACAGGAGAATACTCATCACTGTTCTGATTATCCTTGTTCTTGTCAATGCTTATCATCTCTGGCTTGGAAAGCGGTATTTCAGCGCTATCGCTCGGGCGGCATTCCACGATCGCCAAGCACAGTTTCGGGATCATCTCTATTCCTTGCTCGATAGATATGCACCGGGATGTCCTCCTCTGGAATTGATTGATTCGGCAGGGTGGCCGAGATACGACGCCGTGCTTGAACTCGATCGGGAGAATCATATCGATAAAGCTGATGAGATTATACAGCCCATGCAGGCAGCGCACGGCGGCTTTGTTCAAGCGACCCGAAGGCTTGATGTTCCTTATATGATTTTGACAGAAGGCATTGTGTCTTCTGCAGGTGGTGAATATATGCCGACCTTTGTAGTAACCCTGCGTTTGCTGCGACGAACCGGGTGCATGTTGCCGGTAGAGCTCTTTGTCAAAGATTCGACCGAATATGAATCGCACATCTGTGAGAAGATTCTCCCGGAACTCAATGCGAGATGCGTGGTGCTATCGGAGGCCATGGGCCTGGAAAACTCAATAAACACTGATAATGCTGACGGAGTTAAAATCGAGCACTACCAGCTCAAATCCTTCGCGGTTCTCTTCTCATCGTTCGAAAATATCATCTGGCTAGATGCCGACTGCATCCCCATCCACGACCCTACAACCCTCCTGACAACCGACCCATTCAAATCCACTGGTCTTGTCACCTGGCCCGATTACTGGGCCAGCACCATATCTCCACTATACTTCACCATCTCCCGTCAACCCGAGTTCCCCACAACAGACCGCGCAACAACCGAAGCAGGCGTATTCCTAGTCTCCAAGAAAGCCCATTCCCGGACACTCCTCTTAGCAGCTTACTACAACTACTACGGTCCATCGCACTATTATCACCTCCTAGACCAGGGCGCCCCGGGAGAAGGCGATAAAGACACATTCATTCAGGCTGCCGCTGCTGTAGGCGAAAAATTTTACACAGTCAGCGAGAAAGTCGCAGATCTGGGCCGTCGGCGATATGAATGGAACGATAACGATATAATTCACGTCGCAATGCTGCAGGCCGATCCGGCGGAGGATTATAAGCTCACCCAGCAAGGAAAATGGCGGGTAGAAGATACATCTGTGGCCCCTGCGCCTCGAGCATTTTTCGTCCATGCGAATATGGTCAAATTCAACCCCGGGGACAAATTGTTAGACGAGAGCTCGAATGAGTATGACAATGGGCGGAGGAGGATGTGGACTGCTCCTGAGACGTCGGTTCGGCGGCTTGGGTATGATGTTGAACGGGCGGCTTGGGAGGAGGTTATGACGGTGAGCTGTACTTTGGGTGCTGCTTTTGAGGCATGGAAGGCCGGGGATGGGTTATGTGAGGATGTTCAGACGCATTGGAGGGCTGTATTCCAGGATCCAGATGCTGGTGGGCTTAATTTTACGCAATACTGATTGTTGACGTCTCGTATATAGACCTGCAGATACATTTATTGGTATGATGCGTAATGTTGCCTGATGCTCGTATTGAATGTATTCTAAACCTGATGTCTGGATAAAGTAAAAGCACTTGCATACAGTAAACTTTGTGTTAGCTGGCGCATCCACATAAATTAGGATTCCCCGAGTTGCTAGCGGCTCATCAAGTTACCGCCCATTTCCTTTCATGTTACTTGCAGCCCTGCAAAAGTAAGACTGTCCAGAGACTAAGATAACAACTCTTATAATTGACCTCAACTTCAATGACTAACTTACCAGCCATGGGCATAGCAATTCTCGCCTTGGGAGTGGCCCTTCTTCCGCATCGAGCTACACCGAATGCAACTCTAGATATGAACCTCCAAGGCTCAGATCAAGCTTCTTTAGACACCAAAATACGGGCCTTCCTCGCACCCAGCTCTTCCACAAAGGAGTTTGGGAGCTTAACCGCATTGGATGAGATAAAAGGCTCCAGCATGAGTGACCTCGCAGAGCTTTTGCCGATGCTGAAATCAAAAACTGCAAAGAATGGCAATCAATTGCCGAAACTATCCATAATAACAAATCAGTATAGTAGTGTATCGACTGCTGGCAACTTTAACCGGTACCACAGGTTCATCATGATTTGCCGAGCATACTACGGGTCGAGACCATCGACTAACACACTCAGAATGGAGTGCATCGAAGCCAAAGAAAGCATAGAACGGGGCTGAACGGGATAGTATCCGCCGAGAACAGAAGCTATGGGTCCAAAGCCAACTATAGGCCGGGCCACATTTTATTGATTCAATTAAAAGCGATCGCCCTTGACCCATACCTGGCCCTGGGCTGCAAGTGATGGTTCACTCCAGAAGTCAAATATTAGTAGCTCGGGGTCAACCGGGCATGTCAATTTGCGACGGTGGAAACAGTTCATTCCATGTCCATGGCCCTGTTTGGTGAAGAAGATGTCAAGAGATATAAGAAACAAAAGAAAAAGGGACAAAAGAAAGAAACAAAGAACCAAAGAATAACAGATTGTAGACTCACATCGAAGGGCATTCCAGGACAAGGTCTTTGAGAGCACGATGGAGCAACCCCGAAACCCCGGGGCAGCTAGTGGTGGGCCCGAGAGATCCACGGGTGTGGCAAAGACTCCTTGGAATCCTCTCCCCGGAGATACCAGTCTCTTTCTCTGGCCCCTCTCCCCCCAAAGAGACAATTCATGAGAGCCTATCGCCGAACTAGATATCTACCGATCACCGGAGATCATTGGCCATGTCTTGCGAAGATCAAGACATCCCAAACCGGCAAGAAAACGGATCCGCAACTTGTGGGCAATTGTATGCAGTGTCGAACCATGGATTAGCGAATACCGAATTAGGCTAGTCTTGTTGATTATCTGCACTAGCGTGAATTACCGTAGATTCGGGAGTCGATTCGTTTTTTTCCATCGAATCAGCAGTCGATTGGGTTTTGAGCAATGGATCGAATTGGAATAGCCCTCGACCATCTCCAATAATGCAACTTAAAAGTCACTCAGTTATCCAGTGCCATTGGTGCCCTGGTCATATCGAGCCTCCACTTTGCCTCTACTAGAGTACAATCTCGATTTGGAATTTGCTATGATGTATTTCCCTAACCGGGTTCTCCCCTAACAGTACTAAATGCTCCTCCATCCATTTGTCCTTCGCTTTCGCGTGGCTCTTCATTTTACACCCCCTTGAACTTCAACATGGCAGACATGGCGGCTATGGCAGCCATGCCGGGCCTCACCGTGTACAACATTCCACCGAGCCCCCCCAAATGGGACCGGGTAGGTGTCTTCTACATTGCATGGTGCGTGGCCTGGTCGACTGTACTGCTAGCGGGTATGGCCTTCTGCTTGGTCAATCGTCACAATCCTATCCTTAGGGTCCGCGGTCTATCTCTATCATTCCCTGCAATCGCTCTTCTTCATGTGTATTGGATCCTCGGCCAGATCACCTACCCGATAGGCGGAACCGTGCCTATGGTTCTTGCCTACGACATCCAGTACTTCGCCATGGGCGTTTACTTTCCTCTGGGCATCGCGCTGTTCCACGCTTCGAACCACCGTTTCCTTCACATTGCCAAACTGCAGAAGCAGTTTGTCCATGCTGAGCCCCGGGCCGGACGTGACTTAAAAAGCACCGATGCCTCGTGGCTTTGCCGTTTGAGAAACATAAAGTACACAACTAAGATCTTCCTTTTCATCGGCATTGGCATGGTATTGCAAGTATGTTGTCTCCGCTCCCCCCGTTGCGGCTTGGCTAGTCTAAAAACTGACCAACACGCCGTTAGTTTATTCTCACCATCGGAATGTGGTTCGCTTGTAAAAAATATCACCCAACCTACGGTATTCCCGGAACGGGGCTTGATGGCTTGCCACTCCCGGTGCAGATAGTGGAACTCGGTCGGGGATGGGAATGGTGGCCGTCCGTGCTATGGCAAGTCATCTGGGCATGGATTGTCGCACCGGTTCTCCTCTGGCGAGCTTGGGGAATCCGTGATACAATGGGATGGCGTACCCAGACCATTGCCTGTTGCATTTCCAGTCTCCATGCGACACCGATGTTCTTAATCGCGTCATACGTGCCTGCCTTTGCCAAAGTCAATGCGTATTTTACTCCGAGTCAATGGTGAATCCCCCTCATACGCGTGGGATCAGACAATCTTGACAGTCGCTAACATACGCACAGGATCCATCTGTCCATTATAACGTGGGAAATCTTCACCGTGTTCGTTCCCATCTACGAGGTCGCCAGGCAATGGATCCTGTGCAAGAAAGCAGCCGACTCATATGCTAGATGCGATACGGCTTCGCCATCAATGACCATCAGAATAACACGCTCAAAAGAGTGGAACAATACGTCTTCATCCACGCTTGCCGAGAAGGGTCAGGCATCTGTTTTCTTGGATGAATGTATGGGCGACCGCCTGTTCACAAAGGATGCGCTCGAACACGTCCTCAGTAAGAACTCAGAGGCATTGCAAGATTTCGCAGCACTCAAGGATTTCTCAGGAGAGAATGTTGCGTTCCTTACCTGTACTGGCTCATGGAAGTCATCCTGGCCGGAGAGCCCCGACCAGGAGCAGCTGCTCGGAACATATAACCAGGCACTCTGGATCTACACTACCTTCATTAGCCCATGCAACGCCGAATTCCCCTTGAACATATCATCGCAAGCCCTCAGCCACCTGCAGTCTGTCTTCGAGAAGCCCGCGCGGATCCTATGTGGAGAGGGCAGTGTAAACCCTGCGACACCATTCGAAGATGATTACTCCACGTTACCGCCACAAGATGTTGGTATTAGAGCGCGGTACACGGGGGAGATCCCTGACGGCTTCAACCTGGCCGTCTTCGACCATGTGCAAGATCACATCAAGTACCTGGTTCTGACAAACACATGGCCCAAGTTCGTCGAGGCGATGCGGCGCCAGTCAAGCGATTCAATGGAGAGCGGTTATACTGCGACGTCAGAGTCATCGCTGTCGAGTTGGCTGTCGAGTCGCTTGTTAAGTCGGCTGTCGAGTCAGCACGCGAAGCTTCAATCATTTCATTGAAGTTACGTGGGATCTTTCGGGACGTTGCACGGCAACTAGTTTCACTTCTTGTTGATATAGTATTTCAATTTTTGTGTCATTCTCAGATACCATCTTTGCTCATTTTCTACAATCACACATGAACATACAACAGCCGGCGCTCGCTGGCGTTTTAATAAGTCCGTAGAACGCCGAGAGCCGAGGTCTTACGGTGGCAAGCCCTGGATCGGCTGGCCGAGAGCGCCCTGTCAAGGGCGAATTCTCCGCAACGGCTGCCGACCCGAGTTAACCGATTTCACCGATCGTTCGAGTGATGAAATTTTATAAAGGTGATGTTTGCCCTTGGCTTACGACTTGGCTTCTCAACACTTGTGACTAGTCGACATTGTGCCGGTTGAACCATGGCCCAGAATGGCGCGGCAAACACACAAGACGCGGCGAGTGCCATGATCCCCAATTATCCCCGGACAATCTCATTCTGGCGCCTGATGACCGATCAGCAAGTCATCACCCAGGAGATTCTGAGCCACGAGTATGCTGGGTCGGGCACTGAAGACGACCCTCATGTGGTGTCCTGGCTACCGGACGACCCGCGCAATCCAATGCAATTCACGATGGCGAGAAAGGTCATGGTTGTATTTATGACGGGTTTCGCAACGCTCATTATATCTCTGGCATCCTCTGGTTACAGCGGGAGTATTCGGGGCATCATCCAACATTTCGATATCAGCGAGGAAGTGGCTACCTTGGGACTTTCGCTTTATGTCATTGGTTTCTCTGTAGGACCACTATTATGGGCACCTCTGAGCGAGAGTGTCGGGAGACAAATCCCTTTTTTCATCTCATTTCTACTCCTGGCAGCTTTCTGCGCAGGATGTGCCGCGGCACAGAATATCCAGACACTTCTGATTCTACGCTTTTTTGCTGGGGCGTTTGGTTCCTCTCCGCTCACGAATGCAGGCGGAGTTGTCTCTGATATGTTTACTTCCCGGCAGCGAGGTCTTGCGCTTTGTCTATTCGCATCTACTCCCTACATTGGTTAAACCCCTTGTCCTTCCTAGTCATTATGTACTAACGGTATGGTTAGGCCCGGCAGTCGGTCCACTTATCGGTGGATTTCTAGGAATGAACGCCAGTTGGCGGTGGGTGGAAGGGCTTTTTGCTGCATGCTCAGGCCTGGTATGGGTCCTGGTAGCCTTCACGGTTCCGGAGACCTACGCGCCAGTCCTTCTCCGGAAGCGCGCGGCAAGGCTTTCCAAAGTAACCGGAAAATGCTATCGGAGTACTCTCGACATGGGCCAAGGAGTGAGTTTAGGAAAGCGCCTGAAAACCGTATTTTCACGACCGTGGGTGTTACTATTTTGCGAACCAATTGTTCTGCTATTCACCTTCTACGCTGCTGTCATCTACGGGACACTCTACATGCTCTTTGCTGCATTCCCCATCGTCTACGAACAAGAACGCGGTTGGAATCCAGGCGTGGGGGGCCTTCCTTTCCTGGGTGTTTTGGTGGGCATGCTCACGGCAGTCGCCTACACCGTCATGGATAACCAGCGTTACATTAGGACCCAAGAGCGACACAACGGCTTCGCACCACCAGAGGCCCGTCTCCCACCCTGCATGCTCTCCGCCATAACAGTCCCCGTCGGCTTATTCTGGTTCGCGTGGACAAACTCCCCATCTATCCACTGGATGGCCAGCGTGGCAGCACTAGTCCCGTTCGGATTCGGCTTGGTCATTGTATACATGGGCATTGTCAACTATCTGATCGACTCGTATACCATTTATTCTGCGTCTGTGTTGGCGGCCATGTCTGTGTTGCGGTATATGTTTGGTGGTGTGTTTCCGTTGTTTACGACGTATATGTACAGGGGTTTGGGAATACATTGGGCTTCAAGTATTCCGGGATTTGTCTCGGTGGCTTGTATTCCGTTGCCGTTTCTCTTTTACAGGTACGGGGCGGCGATTCGGAAACGGTGTAAGTATGCTGCCATTTCGGCAGGGCATTTGCAGAAGTTACAGGAAACGGCTGCAGCTGAGAAGGACACTGGCGAGAATAGTTCCGTCAGAAGTAATTGATGTCTCGGGAGTGAGGTGGTTTATCTGGGTGTTTAAGAAAGATAGCTAGATATCGTTGTGAAATAATAACATAATCATTACCCCCTGGTAAGTCCGATTGCGTTAATTTATCTCATGATTCTATTAAACCATGGAATGCCCCATGCAAATTGAGAACAAGGTAATATGGTTAATCTTAACCAAGAATGGCCTGTTCTAAGTAAGATAAGACCTCCACACTGCACAATGTAGAATAAGTGCGCAGTTGAAAAACCGTCGTACTGATGAACCCCGTACCTGGCAACAACCCGGCTATTGAGGCAGCTTTGGAATATACGAAAGAGGAGCTGCCGGGGCAAACTTGAACCATTCCTTTCTTGGATGTCGGTTAATACTGCGGCTATTTAGTCTCATGTGTATGAAGCGCGCAGCCTTGTAGTTCGTCAATGCCTGGCTGGCTCCCCCCGCGCAGCTCGGCCGTGGATCCCCCATGACGATGTCGCAGCGTAGGCCTCTCCCTCACCCGCGGGTGACCCTCCGAGGGTCACCCTAATACCCTCATTTTGAGGGTTGAGGGTCCGACTCTCTCACCCGCAGTGAGGGTCCAAGTTAGGTCTAACCTCGCGAGGGTAACTCGCGGGTGATCAAACAAGACAAACAAAACTATATTAGAATGAATCATCATTTTTATGCATCCAAATAAGGTAAAGTGTGGAAATTTTATGAAATTTAATGAAAATGAGGGTCTGTGAGGGTCACCCACCCGAAATTTGGCGAGGGTCGAGGGTCGGGTGGAGGTTCCAATCTTCGGACCCTCATGAGGGTCTCGGCGATGCCTATCGCAGCGGAACAAGATCCCCGGGAACGAGATGTGGCAGGAGCATGTAGAGTGCGTGTCTGAAGAGGTTCTAGCCGCGAGGGGGAAGCTTGTTAAGGCCGATGCGAAGATTGATGTTGTCGGGGATGCCGAGGGGGTTTGGCTGCTATTCGGTGCTTGTCCATGGATTGTGGGTAGCATCTACCCCCTCACTTCCCAGTTTTTATCCCCTTCCTTCCGTTTCGAATATGAAGGAAGAGGGTCGCACTAGCATTGAACAGGGAAAAACTGGCGCCCCTTCATCTCAGCGATGTGTCTCACCAACCCATTACATTTCACTCATATCCACCTCGTCGAATCCGACCCCTCATCCCCGGACTTGTTCGCGACCTTTGTCGCTTCGCGCTATCGCGCCTACGTCCTATCTAAGGAGGCCCTCGGCGTACCTGTGGAGGGCATCCGCCAGCATGGCCATAACTACTACTTATCCGGGGAAGCATTCAATATCGAGCGCATTATGCCAAGGGTTTGAAAAGCTATGCTTGATGGCTGGAGAGGGTGCATGCTGATCCGGACTATTATGAGGCGAAACTGGTGGTTAAGGAGGTTTCTATCGATGGATTGAATAAGTTGAAGGATTTGGAGGAGGATGGTAGTACTGAGGAGACTGGGGACACTGAGTGTCACGGGCTCGGACCAGTAGATACTAATGAAATGATATTCCTATCTTAACTAGTGTAGCCATCGACTAGAATATCGAATCTGGAGAAGAAAAGAGAAGAGACAAATCTATTTACATGAAGAAGTCCTATATGGTTGTGTGTGGTCTCGCTAAGCAGTCTGTTTGTCTTGATTGCTTCCATGGTATTGTTGCCGTGTTGATGGGATGGAGTTACATAGGCTCTTTATTCAGGTTGGGGGGTGGGAATTGGCTACATGGACAGTTAACTGCTCATTGTCGTCCTTGATTTAAGGAATATATTTCCATTCCATACCATACAAGGAAACGGCCAATTGGGCAGGCATTTATCTTCTCATCTTCATGCAAAACCATGGCAAGCCTCTCGAAACCCAGACCGGAGAGGTGAGCGGATTACTATTGCTAATGATCCTAGGTTTAGTTAGTCAAGGTGTGAGCTCTTAGCCGAGATATTCAGCCGAGATATGGAGCTTTCTAGGCGCCTAGTATTAGAGGATAGCCGTGCAGCTTGTGCTATTCATCATTCGTTCGCCACATTAAATAGATATCAAGCCAAGTCGATTAGCGATGGAGACGGCGAATAGTAAAAATCCTTGGCATGCCATGTCATAGCTCATAGGTTCGCTTGGTAACTTGGTATATAGGAGTTTACCGAAAGAGAGATAGGAAGGGAGAAAGAATCGGGGATGTCCAGAGAGAGATATATATATAGTTTTGGCAGAGGGACAACCAATTCTGACAGATTACCGCCATCCCTAGAAAATATTGAGACTTCGGAACCTCTATGTGAATCCCTTCGTAATAGGAAAACTGCGCCTATAGCGATCACATACTGCTTTTAGATTTTAGAAGGCTTAACAGGAATTACGTATTTTTTTATGATTTAATTTAGAATTTTCGGCTTGGCACTATGGATAAATAACCCTCAGTAAGCCCCTAAAGCCATACCTAGATAGGAGATATTTGAATACAGCAAGCACTCTTACGACCTAGTTTTGATCTGTCAAACTCTGAAGATATGGTTCTATTCAGTGGGCGGTTATTTACATACATTCTGACTTTCTTCTGTTGGATATCAATCATATCTGACCAACTGTTGACCGCGGCGACAAACTCCTCTTCCTGCTCCTCCTCCTCAATCACCGTATTGGCTACCTCTCGTGCTGTCATCTCCGGCAAGTTGACCCCTGCTACGATTGTGATTTCTTGTGCGACTGGAAAGATCGCTGCCGTCTTTGACTACGTTCTTTCCGCTACCGACTTCCCCGAGGGGACCCCATATACCGACCATTCCCCTTACGTCCTCCTCCCGGGGCTGATCGATACCCATGTTCACCTCAATCAACCAGGACGTACAGAGTGGGAGGGCTTTTACACGGGCACCCAAGCCGCCGCTTTTGGTGGGGTCACCACCGTTGTGGATATGCCGCTGAATGCCATCCCACCCACCACGACGGTTGCGAACCTGAAAGAGAAAGTCGCAGCAGCCCAGGGCAAATGCTGGGTAGACGTCGGCTTTTTTGGTGGTGTCATCCCCGGCAATTCTCATGAACTTAAAGCCCTTGTCCATGAAGGTGTCCGTGGCTTTAAAGGATTCCTAATTGATAGCGGGGTAAATACCAACCTAGGTGTACTCTATGATACTGCAGCGCTTACCCCCCTCTAGGTTGATGAATTCCCGGCTGTCAACGCGGAAGATATCAAAAAGGCCATGGCTGAATTGGTAGACGAGCCCACGACGCTTATGTTCCACGCGGAAAAGGAACCTCACGAGGAACCCTCTCCACCAATCGGACCCGCGTACAACTATTCGACTTACCTGGAATCCCGCCCGTCGACCTACGAGACTGGCGCCATTGCAGAGGTCTTGTCCCTGGCCCACCTGGCGCCCCAACTCGCCCTGCATATCGTCCACCTTTCCGCCATGGAGGCCATTCCGATGTTGCGCGAAGCCCGCGCACAAGGCGTGCCCATCAGTGCAGAGACTTGCTTCCATTATCTCTCCTTGGCCGCCGAACAGATCCGCGACGGCGACACCCGCTACAAATGTAGCCCGCCCATCCGCTCCCAAGCGAACCAGGATGCTCTGTGGGCCGAACTAGCGCGATACCCCGACGACGGCGTGATTCAGACCGTCGTCTCGGACCATTCACCCTGCACGCCGGATCTTAAGCTCCTCCCGCCGCACATCCCTCCCTACACGGATGCTTCATCCCACAACGGCAGCTTCCTCACTGCCTGGGGAGGTGTCTCTTCCGTCGGTATGGGACTCCCGATCCTGTGGACTGAATTCAGCCGCAGGAATGGCCTGACCTCTGCGCCGGAGGACGAGAACACAAACCGTGCTCTCCAGGATATTGTCCGGCTCTGCTGCATGAATACCGCCGCCCAGGTGGGTTTGGAGAAGCAGAAGGGTGACCTGGCCGTCGGAATGGACGCGGATATCTGCGTCTTTGATGACACCGCCGAGTGGGTTGTCGAGCCATCCACCATGCTGTTCCGGAATAAGGTCTCGCCTTATCAAGGCCAGAATCTGAGGGGTGTTGTTCGGGAGACTTGGCTCCGGGGTGAGCGAATTTTCACCCGTGCTGCCGGATTCAGCGATGACAGGCCGTCGGGCAAACTCCTGCTGGAGAAACGGGCTAAACGGACTTGAACTTCCTCATCTGCTGGGGCCTTGATGACACGGCCTAACCTCATGCATAACCTAGATCGAGACAGCTTGTTGTGACGGTTGTGACGGCTCACATACGACAGCTGACTGTTCGCATATGGCAGCTCAACACTGCAGCAATGGGTTATACATCACAAATGCTGCTACTCGGCTATGGCCAGCTGGCCAACTCGGTGATATATTACGTTAACTAACTTAACCAAGTTATAGCATCCCTATTTAGATTTGGCGCTCCATTGTTGCTTGGCATCATTGTGCGTGCTCTAGTTATAAGATCATTCTCCATTGCTGCTTCAACTTCAACCAAATCTTTGCTTTTTTCCTTTCATTTCTCTACTGCCACCTGAATGATTCAGATGAGGCATTTTTGCTATAGATCCTCAGTTTAGGTCCTCTTATCCCCTCTTTGCCCCCAATTTTTTGGTGAATGCAGTTAGACCTCGCCGAGACCCTCCACCTCTCAACCCTCGCCAAACCTCGTGTGGTAGAGCGCCGTGACACTATTACAAGCATAGTAACATTGGCCAAACCCAGTTCACCTATTAGGTAACGCGTGCCCCTAGGCCAGATTGCATGTAAATTAGTGCGACTGTATTGATGAAGCAGGGGATCAATGCGCAAGGCACAGCTAACCCCATTATTCTCTCATCATTCGAACTCCTTCATACAACTGGTTTGCAGGTGCTTAAGCTACAACGCGCATGATTAAAATGATGCCCACAGAACTCCCATCTGTCATCTGGGCGAGTCTTCTCTTTGCGCACTTTATATCAGCCGCTAAGAAGTGCTATGCCCCTGATGGAAAGACCACTGCCGACTCGAGATTCCTTCCATGCATTGGATTCGATAACGTGGATTCTATGTGCTGTAGGCTGAATGATACTTATCCGGATGTTAGTCAATCGAATGGTCTATGTTATCGGCCTCATGCAAACAAGTACTACCGAGACTATTGCACTGACAAGAGTTTCGACAGTCCGAATTGCTTAATCAAACCATATGTGATGCAGCGGTAAGCAGATCGACGGTCCATTCTCAATGCTCTTTTCTCCTTTCCCGAGCGAATAATACCGGCTCAATTTCGAGATCGATTAAATTCTAAGAATGACGCTGACTCTCATAAAAATCAAGGCAGAGGATCCTCGAACCACAACACCGAGGTTACCATATGCAAAGACGAATCATTTTGCTACGGCAACACGAATGAATGCTGCACAGAAGAAAAAGAATTCACCCTCAACCCAACACTCGTCAGTTTCGACTCGAATGCTACCGCCACTGCGACAGTGACAGCGATGTCATCCTTAGAAAACAGCGACACAAAATCATCCAATAATATCGCAATTGGAGTGGGTGTTGGTGTTCAGTTAGGAGTTCTTGCGATAGCGATGCTGGGAGCTGGATTCTGGTGGGGGAGACAAAATACACGGGCTAAGTACGAAGCATTGCAGCAGAATGGACTATACACAGCAGAAATCCAGCAGGCCGACTCAAGCCCTATCAATGAGCTGGACTCTAATATCCCATCGAAAGGACCCATTGGGCTTCCAACCCATGGTGAACGGAATCAAATGAGAGGGCAGGGCCGATAATTTCACATCAAATTCCTTCGAAGATGTGGAACTTGAGCCTGGTTTCCTTTTTCGCTTTCTCTTCTATGTGTTATGGGGTTCTTGTACGAACCCCCCAGAGTGCCATGGGCAATCTGCAGTGGATTCGGAGAATCCATTTGGTGTAGGTTGGATTTGATTGTGTGGATTGAGTACACCAACAGCCTCTGATTAAAGATAATATAGACTTATTACAAGAGTGGGTAAATATCAAAGCTGGTAGACCGCAGAACATCCTTCTTTCTTTCCTCGTATCAATTATACTTGTCATTAGCTGTCTAGAAAAGGTTTGAGTAGAGAGTTCCATTGAGCCCACAACAAAGACCAAGTGATTTGATTATAATCATGTATTGACACTCGTAGTCCATGTATATATGTACCTATACGTACCTGTTTTCCTAGAAAGACCGTGGCTTTCCTCCTCTGGGCGCCGCCGCTTTAATGAGGGTACTCAGGGGCTTGCTCAGTGAGTACTCAGGACCTGCTAGGTGAGCAGTCATATGGTCTCCAAGCTACTCACCAGCCCTTTATATTGTGCAGGTCCTCATCAGCATGTGACAGTTTAGCGAGATTCTTATCCCGCGCTAAGGGTACTTTTGCGCAGACTTTTATATGCTAGTCTCCTATCTCGGCAGGCGTTCTTCTCTCTTTCCTTATTTATCGAATCCTTACTGTATGGGCTAATAATAGCTTTCGGGAACTAACGTTTACATAGTGATGTGGATATAAATAAGGGCAAAGGGGATACTGCGGAGGAAAAGAGAGAGGATATGGATATAAGTGCTTCTGAACGGTAAACGTCGCTGTGTCAGATCAAGAGTGAGCATGTATAGCACATTTCCATCAAGAGAGTCTGTTAACTTTCCCGCGTTGTTGGTGGAGCAGAAAGCATATCCCAATCTGCACTTTTATTTTAACCGGAGAAGACGCCAGTACAGATGTGTCTTCGATACTGAACCAATGACAAAATATGTGCTTCTTATAGTATAAAGTAGACCCATGTACTTCATACAGACAATTATGTACAGACACCTCAAAAAAAAAAAAAAAATAAAAATAAAAAACTTAAAGAAACGTCTCGACCCTGGCAAACTTTCAACTCTTCCTCTTCGGGCCCTCAGCCGTGCAGGCATGGAAATCTCCCGCATTGGGATTGGCAGGTGTACCCTCCTTCTTCCTGGTCCCCTTGACTTCCTCCACACCATCATGAGAAATAATCCCGCAGTAGTGCTTGTCTTTGTCGTCAGTGTAGATGACACGGAAAGCACCGGGATTCTGCTTTGGCTTGACTGCGAAGGGATATAATTTGCCATCTGCGTATACTGAAGCTTCGAAAACAGTCTTTCCGTGACAAACAGGATCAAGCTTTTCTATGACCTTCTGGTCATTGTAATGGTGTGGGTATCCGGACTGTTCCGTCTTGCTTGGTGCGTTCTGCCAGGCCTTCTTTACCACATCCTCGGAAATTTGATTCGCTTATGAAGTGAGGGCAACATTGCCACAGATGAGGGTCTATACTTGGGTCAGCATTTTGTCTCCTTTCAACGAATTCACAGCCTACCAGCGAAAGCTGGTTGTCGGGAGGATAACTGAAGATAGCTGAGGTTAATGATGATGGATTCAAGATTTCTTTCAGCGAGTATCAGGAAGATATAGATACCTTTTAGTCGCGCTACATGATTGTGGTGTGCTGGATAGAAGGAGTGATTAGCCTAATGTCCAATGGAATGTAGCCCCCATCGCAGGCTCAATCTAGGTGTAAGGCAGTATAATCAGGGTCCTGTAGAAGGGTTTTAGTGCAAAATAGATAGCTACATAGGATGGCCAGGGTCTCAGCCTTGTTGCACTGTGGTTAGGCTGAACGATCCCTGGGGATTTGGGGGATCTGCGGTAAGCGTAGGGCTATATCCGGATCTTAGCCGGTCTAAGGCTTAACCAAGGGCACAATTGGAGCCAAAACATATTTTCTAACATAATTGTCATAAGTATGAACTGTAACGTAATCCACAGCCGAGCTGACCATACAACCGAGCTGACCATTTTCTCCGCAACCACAAGGATATTAAAGCTTTTCAACCACCAACGCCATTAAACTAGACTATATAAAAAATAAAATGAATAGTTATTTACTAGGACAACCTCTTATCGTATGTCCTATAGTCCCACAGCCACTACAGCGTTGTGGAGCTCGCTTGCGAGGCCGAGATATAGGCTCTTCAACCTGGGCTTCATCCTGTATATCAAGCTGCTGAATGCGCTCACGACCTTCCTGTACAGATATAAAGAG